CTTACGACCAGCATATGGCTAGACACTGAAAACCTCGCGTCTTGAGCATCAAGTCATGGCGGCTGGTAAAGACTGCAGAGCTGTTCGCCTTTTACCGTAATCTAGGTGTACTCTTAGAACTTATTTGCTTTGTGCTTATTGGCAACTCTTCACATGACATGATGTTTCAGAAGGGACATTTCGTTTATCCCTATCGAACAATCTTGATGTCGACTGCCTTATAGATCTGGTGATGCCCTCGCTCAAACACATACGACCATACCTATTAGAGAACTCGGGGTCCCGTCCGCTCCCCCATAGATAAGCTGATAAGGGGCGGATTAGTAGTTGGGTCGGTGACGACCAGCGAATACCTGCTGTTGTATGTCTTTTTGCCAGTTATTTTATCTGGCAGTCATAGAAGACTGGGCATCTTCATAGGATGGGACCGGAAGATCATGAGGCTATGTTCCAACAGGTTTGATCTACACAGCGCCGTGTCGCGCAGCTTGGATGAGTCTGATCAAATGCTGTTTACCTATTGAGACAAGATATAGGGATGACTAGACAGGAGGCAATAATTCAAACTCGGCAAACCCCAGCACTAGTTATAAGAAATCTCATTCAGTTATTCGAACTTGGAGCTCATTTGCTACCACATTGTAGAACAATCCGATTTAACCATCCGTTTAGTTGGGATATTTAGCAACAATTAACTGGTTCCTCCTGCACCTTGAGAAATTGAAGAAACAGGCCCTATTTGCTTATAATGTATTTTCATAAATGATCTTATCATGGCTTAAAGAGCATCTCAGACTTCATCTCAAGTTTAACAGCAGTACCGTCACAGCTTGCCATTTATCTTCTGCGGGTTGGTGCGCATAGGTAGTCAAACCTTGTTGATGTTAAGGGAATATGAGAAACAAAAAGCGTCAAATGACACATAGTAGCACCCTGGACATAGCACTGCTCTAGAACGAGGCACAAATATAGAACCAATGCCTTTCTTGGCTTCTGTTAAGTCTATCTGAGGTGAAAGCTTTAATTGGTATTGTCCTTGCGCCGATGCAGGATTTGCAATCCCGATTCGTGGATACAGACCGGAGAAAAATCCCATCCAGACTCGCAGCAGGTTGACCCTTGGCTCAGAGCCTAGTTTTTTGGGCAACCTCTCTTATGTGGCGCATTCAGGGCTAATGCTCATTGATCTAGTCGATATGAATCCAGGCCCCGGCGAGTTGCTTTCAACCGCAACAGTCATCCAATCTCAAGGAGGTTTCCAGGCCATAGCGCAGTTGAGTCATTGCCCAGCCCCTTGATACCTTGACTGAAAGCTCGGGAGGCATCCGAGAGCCTCCATGATCCGTAGCCTCATTTTCAGGAAATTGGAAGAATCGACCTCTCCTCCATGGGAACATCGCCCTCCGCCTCCGAATGCCTGTTGACGTGGCTCCAGACCTCGTAAGTGTACCCTTGAATGGCCACATTGAACCATGTTCCTTTGCCCAGTTGCATTCAATGTTGTTGTGAATATGATCCGAGTTTCTTATTTGTGGCAGACATGGATGTGCTTGCCGCATGATTCCATCTTGGATATACAGCTCGAACCTCCAGTGAAACTGGTCACCACATGCTCAAATGAGCATCGTTTCATTTTCGTAGAGATCAATCTCGTGGAGCAAGCATTATCACATACTCTCTCGTGCTGTGCCCGAATTGGATCATATCCTTATCCCTGAGCTCCAAATATCTGCTATCTGGGATCTTGCTACCATTCAACATCGTTCCATTGGCACTTTCCAGATCAATAAGGTACGGCTTGACTTTGCCAATTTTGTCGCCAAACTCGTTCCTCTTCTCAACATAGCGAAATTGAATCACGGCGTGTTGCTTGCTGATGCTCGGATGCTCCGCGGGCAAGTCCACAACTGACATTTCTCGCCCGATGAGCCAGCAGCTCCTCGTGCTGAGCTCTATCGTGTCGACAATATCCTGGCCTTTGAAAACGAACAACTTCCAGACATCGCGTGGCGAGGGCTTACGCGCCTCGGAGGGCTCGTGATACTTGAGTGTAATTGTCGTGCCGTCCGCCTGTGCCACTGAATTCGATGCCGCCGCCAAGACGCCCGTGGATCCGAAGTTGGGCTTTTCCTTGGGTTTCTCGGGAGCCTCGCCGGTGGTAACGGCGAAAGAGTCTGCCTGAGATGGTAAAGGGCCAGTGCGCCTCACGGGGCTTCGCTTTGCAACCCGTCTGTCACCTCCCCCGTCATCATCGTCACGTCTTCGCCTTGAACTCTTATCGTCTCGTGATCTTCGACGTCCATGTTCACGGTTTGTGTCTCGTTGACGGTCTCGGCTTCGTGACCTCCGCCGTGAAGATTCTGGTGTCCGGGACCGTCTTCGCTCGCGTCGGTCGCGTGATCGACGACGTTCTCGGCGTCCAGAGTCACGTTCTGTATATTTTGATCGACGATCGTCTCTGGATTCGTTGTCCTCGCCCTCGTAGCGCCTCCGGCTGGGCCTACTTCCTCGTTCTTCGTCCGACGCCATTGTGGTAAGATACAGGCAGTAAAAAAAAGATGCAGGGCAGCCAAGATGACGCAGCTGAGATGGAGAGCTAGATCTGCAAGCTGCAAGACAGCATGAAGAAAAGTGGGCTATGAAGTGCGTGGCTGGTACACTAACTGAGGTGGGCATAGAACTGTGGCTTAAGCACGTGGGATGCGCTTGCACATGCCATTTATGATAAAAGTTTGATAAATTTCCAACTGTCATATCAAAGATAAACTCAAAGTACCTGCTCTATGCTACCTCTATTTTCACTTGGGTAGGTAGGTTTATCATCGCTCATACGCCGCCATAGTACTCCAGTAAGCGCAGTTAGCTGCCTGCAAATCCCAAAAGAACCAAAAAATGTTAAAAATCCCGCTGTGGATATCAAATCTCCTATCCCAAAAAAAATCCCAGAGTACGTATCAGTAGAGTCAAAATGTATCGTCAAGTCATCATGAGGTGCGAAATCGCCAATCCTTAAGTGGCAGAAGAAATAGCCATAACGGTTATCCTGGAGCCATTGTCAAGATAGGCTTCAGCATTGGTGTTGAGGTCTTCAGCGCCTTTTCTAGAGACGGTGAGACGCTGCTCAACTTCGTCCCACCAAACATCATCGCCGACCTCGGCATCTCCTGGGACTAACAAAAGCATACCATTATTGCTACCAAGAGCAATTCTGCAAGAGGGGTCCTTCACAAAGGTCTCGAGAAAGGGGACGTCGTAGCCCTGCATCCCCCGCAACGGTCCCCCACTCTCCACAAAGTCTCTGATCAAATTGCTCCTCTCAAGGCTCCAGAATTGACGGAAATCTTCTGGGCGTGAGAAGGCGTCGACGTTTGTGAGAAGCTCAAGCATGCCTGCCATGCCGTTCAGGACGGGGCTGAGAAAGTGGACGAAGGAGTTGAGGATCTCCTCACGAGAGTATCGGGACTCTGTCTCTGTTCTCAAGGCTGGTGACATGGTGTTCAAGAGAGTAAGAAGGCGTTCCTGGTTCGAGGGCAGCGGTGTTCGGATGTGATAGGCCATGGTGAGGAGGGAGACAAGAGAGAACGTGGAAGACATGGAGGAGAGAGGGTCGGAGAGGGTGGCAATGCTATCAATGTAGATGGCCTTGCTTGGCTGATTTGTGAGCAACTTGGAAGGATGCATGTTGCTGGTCTTGTGTCGATAGTATATAGAGTTTGCTGTGTAGATATATGAGTTGGTGTTGTTGACAAGGTAGGCTGTGGTGTATATAGTGAAGTAAGGTAAGGCAGTCAAAGATTTGTCAAGACTAGAAAGATGATGGACCAAATATCGAAGGACTCAGCTTCTGGAAGGACATGCCAGACTATTTAATGAAAGGCAAAGCTCCATTCTACTAGAGTTAAAACAAAAGAAGCGCCGACTCCCCCCTCCCGTCCCCCTTCCAGAGACGCCATGCCATCTCCGTTGGCTCCGTTTCCTGACCTGTGGTGTGTAAGTGACCTGAGGTGAGAAGCAGCAGAGCAAAGTGGATGAGAACCCTTAGCGAGACCCTAGTTCCTGGATACCTCAGACAAGGTAGTTAATTACCCAATAAAGTCACTCATGATAGCAAGGTGGTTGATTGACAGGGCTCCAGGCCCCCACGAAAGGAGCCTCTGGAACCGCGCATCGGGTAATTCCCAACTGAGCTTGGTCTTGACAGTGGCTGGCTGTAGTGGTATGGCCAGCGGAGTCAGCGCATCGCATTTCCCATGTCGCCGCCTGAAGATTAGCGGCAGCACAAGCACAAGGTCAGGTTTTGATTCATGTCTATGTTTTGTGTATTTTTGGCCTGTGAAACTTGTTGAGAGTGCAACTTTCACATGGCAAAGCTGTCTACCCATCTCTTGTATGTGATGTCAGTTGAGATGAGAGGGTTCAACAAGATGTTGTACCATATACGGACGTGCCTTGCCTTGCGTGTCATCATACACCCAAAGATTCCCATACTCGAGCTGTTCCAAGTTTGTTGATATCAAATCAATCGAGCTTGTCCTATCCTGTCTCAGGTCCAACTTGGAGGCATTCTTTTCTTGTCACTCGGGCCTTTTACTCCCTCTGACCCCTTCTTGGCTGACTCCCTCTTCTGTCCCTCCATTATGGGATCGTCTCCCGTCCTTCCCGCGGCATACGCGCTTCCAACTTTTCAGGCCAGAAAATATTGTTTTTGACAACCATCAGAGCTCTGGAAACCCCCACTCACGTTTCGACTCTGTGCCCTCCATCAATGCTTTGCGGGGAGGTGAGCGGAGCGGGTAAAGCAGTTCCATATCAGCCTCTACAGCGACTTGCCTTAGCCTGGGCTCTTCCTTGAGCCTAGAATTGAGAGTCTGGTGAAGCTGCGCGGCCCCCGGATTCTCTCATTCCTTTGTGTAACCGCTTTATTTAATAAGCACCGACTCTACCGAACATGACTTGCGGCGTAGTCTTCGGTCGAATTCAGTTCGGGTTCCGTCCCTCTCTCACGTTATGCCGTTTCCATATCAATCTCATCTGTCTCTGACTTTGTCTTTCTTTCTCTCGAATGCAACGCTCCGTTATGTCATGCTGCGTCTCTCGGCACGTACGGTTTCATGGAATCGTCATTGGTTGGGCAATCTGTGTTATCAAACACAACCCTGAATGCCCTCACCACAAGTCTCCTGACAACTGCGGCCCTTTTCCGGATAGCGAGCAAAAAACAGGTGATGAAATCTATACTTTTCGGTGTTACTCAGATTGCACATTAGATCTCGTGTAGATCGCATGTTGATATTTGATCTGGATGGTACGTCTGCCGCAGAGCCTCAACTCTCATTCAGCCCTTTGCTATATGAGTTGAAGCAATACCCCATGTTAGCCCTTGATTACTGGAACTGGCTGCCTAGTCTATTGTGTCAGCGCGTTGCATTCCAACTAGCCCTTTACAGAGTTGCTGAGCCCTGAAGCTGTTTGTAACATCTCCTCACATCTCCTGACATCCATATCCTAACATCTCCGCTCAGACGTATTCTTGTTCCGTTATCGTGGATGACATACGAGTGCCGTGACTTTTCTTTCTCGTTTCTAGAATATCCTGACTCCGCGGGCCGATTTTTTGATAACTGGGTCTTCATTGATAAGTACCCACCATGTTTGCCCTAGGTACTTTTCTGTCATGCTCAAGAAGCGGGTCTATTGTCCATGGCTGTTAATAGCAACCATGAGTAAAATAGAGGCGGTAAACAATTGTAATCTCTATGCGTTTCCAATGTTTTGATACTATGGATAGCTGCCAAACATGCTGGTATACAGGGTTATACTTCACCACTGATTATTTGATACTATTTTTGCCTAGCCATGCCCAGACTCTTGCACGGGTTGTTCAACATCGTGCCCTCTATTATTAGGCTCTTGATACACGATCATGGAAAGATTGTTTCTAGGTTGTTTGAAGATCTCGTAGATCAGTGAAACGCAAACTTTCTTTCACATGGTGTTTTAGTTTGAGCTTGTTCGCCGCATGCTGTGTTACTATTGTTAGTCTCTTCGCTTTGCAAGGTTGCCCCTAAGTTTGTAAGTCAGGGTCTTCAGCTGATACATTTGTCGACGATCAACAATGCAGTTACAACAAAGCTTGACCACGTGTACTATTGTACTCGAAACACCAAAAAAGCCTCGCTCTTCACCGTTCCACCCAGTGGCTCAGAGTCTTGGCCGGCCAGTCACTCGGCTCGGCTCGGACTTGAATTCGCAACGGTGGCGTCTCTACTGATTGAACCGTTCAGACAGTATGAGACCGTTCGGCGCCATGGTTGCAATGCTGTCTGTGCAGCAACGCCAGTTCATCACTTCAATTCGTCCAGGATACAGGGTGCGATATGGTTCCTATGAAGCAATACAGGATGAAGCTGGCGACTTACACCGAATGACTCAACCGGCGGCTTACTAGGCACAATACCATCAGGAAAGACTACAGGTTTCAATATTCAGACAGCTCCTTCAACTTCCAAATTATTCCGTAAAATTCCAATAGCTAGCATACAGCAAGAAGAATTAATATGTAAATATGTGACCTCCCACAGTGAAAGATTGTGATGGAAATCAATTACGTCACGGAACCAACTACCTATTCTCTGCATGACTGTGGCACTTAACTACAGTCAATACAACACACAAACTGCAATGTCGACCACCAACAACAACCCTGAAAACTACGCCCTCTTTCGAGACTGTTTGTCCACTACTCTCCTTCAGCCCGCTTCTTCGGCCCCGGACCCGCCCAAACGCCGTCGGCGTGGTAAGAACACCGGTGCTCCGCTCGTTGCATCCACCCCGGACCCGGACCCGGAGAAGGATGCCGAGGAACTTGCTGAATTCGCCGACTATCTCGCTACTGAGATCTTTGACAATCTCCCAGAGGAGCTGCAAGATCTCGAGTATCGGACATGGCGAGAGGACGAAGCGTTACAGGAGCAGTACTCTCTCCCACTCACTAGAGACAGCCTTTTGTTGTTCAACCTACCACCATCTGTCATCGAGACCCTCACAACTTACAACCTTATTTCTGCCGATCCCTATGTTGAATCACATCTCCCGTCCTCTCCAGAGTCATTCCTCCTTCCCATTCTCACCTCGTACATAACTCCTCTCATTGAGCCACCTCCCGCTACACGTTCAACTCGGGCTGACGCGTGTGAGCTATGTGCCCGATCCTGGGTTCCTCTGTCCTACCATCACCTCATCCCGCGGTTCGTGCATGAAAAGGCTGTTAAGCGAGGATGGCACCGTAAAGAAGATCTGCAGAACGTGGCGTGGCTGTGTGGTGCCTGTCATCGCTTTGTTCATCACTTCAAAACGCACGAGGAGCTGGCACGGGACTACTACACTGTTGAGCTGTTGCTGGATGAGGAGGAGGTTCAAAGATGGGCTAGCTGGGTTGGTAGGTTGAGATGGAAAGGAAGGTAGTTCCAAGCAGTGACTTTCACGAGTAACGAAAAGAAGGGATCATTGCATCATACAAAGCGTTCTAAGATAGTGATATTTCATGAATTTTATGGACTTGTTGAATATTTATTGGAGCATAGTATCAATTCTGAACCTTTCTTGCCTTGTGCTGAGCAGCTTTACCTTAAAGCCTACGACCATAGTAACCCATAGACGATATCTTGTGCAACTACATGAAACTTATGAGCATGTCTAAAGATGGATCCATAGCTGATATAGACTATACCGGCATACATTGGTCTTGTACTCACATCCTTCTATCATGACCCACCAAATATCTACTCATTATCTGCTTATCTGTTGAGACGCCATGGCAATGGTTGAGGAACTGTGGTTGAGTGAGATAAAAATCGAGAAATTTCTGTTGAGGCGTTTCTGTGGTGACAACTCATTGAGTCCAGGCCAGATATGCAACCTGAATCTAACATGGTCTCATAATGCAACGAGGAAGACAATAAAGATTGCCTTAGGCAAGCAATACGCCTTCCATCTAGGCGTGAGGATATTGCTGAAAGCAGCCTTTGTGATGAAAAATGATGTCTCGAAGCTTTCCTATTGTGTTAATATCGGTTAAAACAACACGAGGTGTCTATCTATTTCTCATAAAATAGTCATGACATGGCATTGTCACAGTTAATCATGATCCTCCTCGGTCAAACCTGGACAACCCTCCATCTCAGCATCAGGATAGGCCATTTTGCACCAGAAACAATACTGGTGCTTCTCTCTCAGATACTCCAACACGCTCTTCAATCGCTCCCCAATCTCGAGCTCATTGAACTGGTCCAGCTCCTCGTCTTCTTCGTCGAGATCTTCAGCCGTAGCATACACCGCATGTCCCTTCCCCAATGCCCTCTTGTCGTCTGCATCTTCCTGGTCGTCTTCGTATGTTGGTAGTCGCGATAGTGATTGCTCAAGATCGTAGCGCATACGTCGGTCGCGTTCTACTTCGTCTCTGTGTCTGACTAGACCGCGATAAATGATTGGTATCGACTTGAGAGGGCGGGATGATATCAGTCTTGACTTTTCCTTTTCATCTTTAGAATCTGGTAGTGAAGCACCAGGGCCATAAACTTCTGTCTTCTCATCGTCCATCCTCTCTGCCGTGCGCTGGGCTGCAAAGAACTGCTTCTCAAGCCTTGCATCCTCGCGCTCTTTTCTCACACGCTCGCGATACTCGTCTGGGTCCATTTTAACAGCTTTCATGTCCCTCTCTTCAGCTGCTTCTCTGACTTTGCGCTTCTTTTCATTATCCAACCCAATACCTCCACGGTCGTCCTTCACGCTGACCTTGATGGGCTCTGTGCGCCCGGGAGCAGCTCCATCTTCTGTCTTTTTTCCTAGCCCACCGCCTGTAAACCCCATCTTGGCCATCATGGCGAGTCCTTTGCTCTTTTTCGCTTTGGCATCGTCAAGCATTGAGGTTGAGAGAGCCTTTTCACGTGCGGCTTCTTCTTCCTCTGCGATTTGCTCTTTTGACTTGATGATACCACGTGCGCGCGATTCACGCTTCAATCGTTGTGTACGCTGTATGGATGTCTCTTTTACAGGTGTTGGGTCGTCAAAGGACATGTTCATGTAATCATCCTCCTCTTCATCTTGTGCCCCTACGCCGTTCTTGTGTTCAGTGCTCATACTTCTTGTTTGTGTATTTGTGGACGGTTTGCTTTGCAGTTGATAGGAGCGAGGTTGAGGCGTAGTAATGTTCTGATACTGCAAGATTTGACGGCGATAATGAAAGCGGTTCAAAGGACAAAACAGTAGGCTCCACTAATTTTTATTAGTGCTTGAAGGGCTTCAGAGAGGAAGAAAACTCCGGACCTCTATGCTAAGTCATAAAAGCTTTAGGGAAATCTAACATGGGTTTAGAAGGCCTCTAGAATGAATGTTTTTGTTATTCAGGGTAAAGGCTCCAAGATTTCTTGCCTCCCCCAGAAGGCATTCACCTCAGGTACGCGTCTGCACTTGGTGTATCTCTACCTATCCTGCTACCGCTACCTGGCGTTGAAAAGTATCCGTCAGGTTTAGACACTATCAAAACAATAGATACTTGACTTCTCGGGCTATTTACTGATCGGTTTACTCAGGGCCCATGCTGGTACGATTATCTTTGCCGTATTGTAACGTCTGACCCATTTTGAAGGAGTTCTCCGAACTTCAGGACTCCACAAATTATTTATAAACAAGCAGTGCAGAGCTTATAGAACCAGTGATAAGCCGCCGTCAACAATAACACCACACTTTTCAACAGCACATATTAAATGGACATACGAAAACATGTATTGGTATCCTGAGCCTATACCTACGCCATTGAATCCATTTACCTGTTCTTGGCCCTCTTTCTCGCAGACTTCTCTCGCTCGTATGCATTCGCCTCGCGACCCTCCTCGCTTTGAATCTCGGCAACGAGACGCTTGTACTTCTTCTCGTACGCCTCGTCCTTTGCCTTCTTGATCCGTAACTTCTCGCGTGCCATGAAGTTGGCGTCCTTGCGCAGCTCCCGAAGAGCACCCTTGCGTTCCTTCTTGTGCTCCTTCTTGAGCTTGGCCAACTCTGCTCGCTCGCGATCGGGGTCGTAGTGCTTATCAGGATCGAATGTCTCCTCGAACTTGGGTACATAGGTTTTGATTGCCAGGGGGCGATGATGATGCAGCTCAACATTGCGGCGAGATAGTTGCGCAACCTTAAGCATGCGGTCGAATTTAACCTGCAACTTCTCGATTCTTTCATTGAGAGCAGTGGGTAATTGTGACCTGCAAGTCTTGCTGCCGAGGTGTTTGAGTACGCTCGCAGCCTGTCCAAAGGTCTCGAGGAATGCACTCTTCCCAGTCCACGTATCTGCTGCAGCTTCTATAACTTGTGCTGTGGTATCGAGGATAGCGATCTTGCGGGCTATCGTTTCAGTCTTTTTGGCTTCTTGCTCGATGCAGTCTGAGAAGTTGAGTCTCCGTAACTCTGACTCAGCCGCAGCTTCTGTGCGGACGCCCTCAAGAGCGTTGTGAAGAGGAAAATTCCCGACCTTCTTGGAAGTGGCAACAGGGGCCAGAGCCAAGAGTGTATTCAGAGAGAAGTTAATAACTTCGGGCACGTAGCGCTTGGCAAGTTTCTGGTAGCTGACAGCAAGAATACAGAGATATGTACCAATAGCATAATGTGCCAGGTTTTGTGGTACTCTTTGGCCAAGGTATCGAGTGATTGTCAACACAGCAGGAGTGACGACTTGATGGAAGTGATCGGAAGTAGGGAAGATGGTGCCAACTGCAGAAAGCAAAACCAGGTCTCCGGTTCCTAGTGCCAAGGGTCGAGACTCGCCCATCTCCTCAAGATTCTTGCGGAACTGCTTGCTAATTTCGATAGGAAACATCTTTGCGAGAGAGTGGATGTGTCGAACAATGCTTTCAAGCACCGTAAAAGGGGCAGAAGTGGCAGGGTCCCAGGGCAGACCGACGTAGTCAACTAAAGCAGTTGCAAAGTTGCCAAGCTTCTCCTTGTTCATACTGCTGAGCTTGGGATGATAGAGGGCACGAATCCTCTGGACAATTGTAGGGAAGGTCTTGGCTGGGTATGGCGCCAAAGTGACTTGCAACTCGTCGCAAGTTTGAGGGCATTCAAAGGTGTAGGGGAGGCCTTGCTCGTCACCCTTCTGAATCGCCGAGGCTTTTGTTGTCGAGTCGGCATCGAAAACAGGATTTCGGCTCTCTTCCTCATTAAGCAGGCCTTTGGTAAAGTCATCCTCCTCATCCTCAGCTTCCTCATCAGACCCATCCTCCATGTCTGATTCATCCTCACTGTCGAGTTCCAGGTCCGAGCCACTAGCCACAAGATCATCGTCGATGACGAAATCATCTTCATCGTCAAAGCCAAGCTCAGTAGCAGTAGGACGAGCTCGGATACCGCTGCCCAAGCCAAAGTCCTCTTCATCGTCCAGGTCCATAGCATCAAGCTCAGGCTTCTTGCCCTTGTTGCCGACTTCTTCATCCTCACTGTCACTGACTGACTCTCCTCTCATGCGCTTCTGGCGTTTGTCTTCGAGCTCCTTGAGTCTTGTAGACTCTTCTTCAGCCTTCTCCTCCTCAGTCTTGGTGCGGTCGGCAGGTTGTGCCCTCTTGTCCTGAGCTAATTTCTTTACTTGAAGATCAAAGTTCTTCTCGAAAGCGTCTCGGTCAACTCCAGCGATGGTGGGTTTTGCAGCTCCCTCGTTCTGAGGTTTGGCGCCTGGTCGGCTGTGGTGCAGCATGTACTGGATGTTTTGCAACTCCTTGTCAAGCTTCTCCCGGAGCTCTTCATCCTCCTCCTTCGCAGCTTGTCGCTCGTACTTGTAGTGTTTGGACTTGGCGATAACTTCCTCCATCACCTCCTTCTTCGTCTTTTTTCGTTCCGGTTCATCATCTTCGCCATCACTACCCTGGGCTGCTATTGCACGAATACGCTTCAATCTCTGCTGTTCACGCACCGAGCCATCACTGTCGTAATTCTCTTCGAGATCATCCTCTTTGAAATCGTCCATATCGTCAAAAGAAAGAGACTTGCCCATGTGGGTCAAGCCTTCTGAAGCATCGTCGTCTTCCAAGTCAAACATTGAGTTCTTCTTGTGACTTCTCTGTTTCTCTCGGGCAAATCGCTCAAGCATCTTGTCTTCGGGGGCCATTGTGGGATCGTTTTCACCGAATCGACGATCGAGAATTCCACCAACCTTGTTGCGGCGTTGCATCTCGACCAGAAGGGTTTGCCGGCGCTTTATGAATGTTAGTTGATTCTTCATGGAAACCTGATTTGTGACTATATCGAGGTCGACATGGATTTCAACAATAGGCATTTATGTGAACAGATCGTGTCACCTCCAATGCCCTGATGGCGCCTCACGAATAGAATGTTGGAACTTACCCTCTCCTCGCTGGCTGCTTTGGCCTGGCCCGGACGACCCTTGATGCTGCCAGCAGTCAACGTAGGCCGGTTACTCGTAACTTCGAATTTTGGGCCCTTGGCATGCTTAAGATCGAAAGGATTGAATTGTTCGCGAATCCCCTCCAAGACCACTCCTCGCTGAAGTCGTTTATCATTTCGAGAGCGCTCATCCTGAGCATTGCGCCGTTTCTGCTTCTTCGATTGCTGAGGGCCGACAATTCCTTGCTCTTTGAGAGACGCCTTGAGGCGTTTGAGCTGGGAGCCGGCCATTGCGACTGATAATGCTGTTGATGCGAAAGCTGCGCTGGTAGTAGCAACTTTCAGTTTTTTTGGGATGGAAAAAAAGTCTTATCGTTATCAAGCTTCATGTGGGGCCCGCATGCGAAACTACGGGTAGTCTAACCTTATTTGGATATAGTAAAGCGGTAAGCTATGGCAGAATGCCTTACGTCAGGAGTCCTGGGACAGCTATGAAGAACTCATTTACCAATATTTTAGTAAAGCATGAACTCAATCAACAGATTCAACCAAGATGGGATGGGCTGATAGCCTCCTAAGCTTTGCTCGTGATGAGAGGGTTGTTCTTGTCACCTTAGGCTTTGCCACTTTTGGTGTAGTGAGTACTGTCTTCACTGCCCTCACCATCATAAGAGACGACAACGAAATTCTGCCACCTCAGCCAAAGACACAATACATCACTCAAGATACGGAAGACTCGTTGGAACTCGAAACGCTTGAGAAGCTATTAGATCACCCGAATTATTCTATACGAGAAGTCGCGATCAAGATCCTTTGCGATCGGGCCGTGAACGATTCCGAGACAACTCACATATTGCTATTCGGCATCACTCGACCAGATTACGATGAGAGGATGCGGTGTCTTCGGGCTTTGGCCCTGCTTACCGGACAGACTATCGGTGAGTTTTTCCAAATGAAATCATAAGATATAACTGACACTTCAGGGCTGGATGGACTTTCAAAGTTGAACAATCCCAGAGCCTACTCGGCTCTTGTCCGTTCTCTGGAGCTGAGCCTGGATGATACCGAGCGACCGAGTCTCACTGATAGCCATTGGGATGAGTATTACCTTCGCGACATGGCCGAGAGGTTCTGCTTAATGTTCATCCTGGAGCTCGCCAATAAGTATGGTGCCAGTATGCTAGTTAAGGCACGCTTTGTCGAAAAGTGGTTAGCAAAGCAGGAATGGGGCGATACCCCGGAAGAAAGACGCCAAAGCTTCAGGGATTATATGGCACTCAAGACAAATAGGATCGTCGAGATTGTCGATCGAATCAAGGAATCAAGACGAGGCCTCAGGGCTCTGGAAAGGGCAGGGCTCATGGACAAAGAGAATTCCAGAAGGAGAATTCGTGAACTCCCAGACCTGATTATGGAGATCGAGGAGGAGGCGGGAAACTTACCACTTGTCGAACAGCAAGTGACGCGAACCAGAGAACATTCAGCCGAAGAGCAAAGGCTACGACGGCAACATCGAGAAGCGATGGTTCTCAACGATGGAACTCGGCCACTGGCGCGCGAGGATATTATCGAGAGAGAACATACATCTCCTGCATAGGATTAGTGAGGAAATGATACCCAGTATTAATACTACTACAAGACGTTTGAGCAAAGCATCTATGTCATTGAGTAACTGATGAGCCACGCTACGGCTGTCGACTACACATCTACATCTTTCTTCAAGCAAGTGGGGTTTTTTACCCTTCTACTACCTAACAGGTACTCTGCCTGTCTTAAAACGACAAGATGTTGCCTTACGTCACATAAATCGCTACATTGAAGAAATATAAGAATTTTGCAAACAAAGGCTCCAACTTCCCTGCCTGGTCTATGTACCTTTTCTGTTTCTCAGTCCTTGTCGTACCTTTACAGTTCTTTTTTCACCTATCTACGACTGAGGCTAGGGAAAAGAAGCAAATAAGTATTCATATCATCTTCATCCCCTCTTCTAGTGTACTTGCAGGCCCAGCCTGCTCTCCAGTCTGTCCAAACCTCTGTTCAGAAGCAGTGTCAAGAGCCTCCCCAATTTAATCATAAAAAAAAGCCAGCCTTCTCGGACAGTAGTTTTGCAAGGTCGTCTGGATCAGTTGAAGATTCAGATTCGTTGAGGGTCGCCGCTTTCTGGATCGTGCAAGGCAATTTCATCTCTCTAGTACACAGCTCGTCTCGTAAGGCATCAATGTACCCATTATCGAGGGGAGGCAGAATCTCATTGTCATCAGCTGGCCTGCGAGCCAGTTGCTGTGCATCGAGAGGCAAATTCGACATAATTTCGATTCGATTGATCCAAAAGCCATGATCATCACCCTTGCCTAAGGATACCAAAAAGACTCTCAGCACGTTCGGATCCATCTTACCCAATACTGGACACTGCAGTATTGCGGGTACAAAATTCTGCCATGCTTGTGGTGAAGCTAGATCAGCAAACTGGAATAAGGAAACCATCAACTGGCTCCACCGAAGAATCAGCTCAGGATCCAGAGTACCTTCGAGGTAGCGGAACTCAACAGTCCCTCTACATTTATCTTCAGAGCCTTCATCAAACTCATCGAAGGAGTGGCACTTAGAAAGTCCTAAGCAAGACTTTGAGCCCATGCTAGGAGTTATAAGCAGCTTGAGCCGTTGTAGAGTTTCGGCTGTCCATAGCTTCTTCATAATCCCCAAGGTACGGCGGTCAACGGCCTTGTCGACGGGGATGTACTGTTCGAAGTCAGCTGGAACATTCCTTTCCGACCACTGTCGGTATATATAGGTTCCAGTAATGATGCTAGACTCAGTGCGTATCTTGACTTCCTTCTTCCAGGACAACAAAGGCGGTAAACAATGTTCTCTACCAAATACATGAGGACAGAAACCTTACTCACGAGGTGTAACAGTATGGGCCCAGTGCCTTTGCTAACATGGATGTGGAAGCCACATGATTTGCCCACTGTCAATCTGAAGTTGTTTCGCAGGATGGAGACCATATCCAGTACCTCTTCCCAGCACTCGGGCGTATCTCTGAGAACGCTACCGATAATCTCCAAACCATTCAGCTGCTTGTACCCTGCCCACTCAGACATTCGGCGCAGCGATACATCGGTTCCAATGTTCCACGTCTGATATCGGGGATCGATATCGTCAACAGGCACCATCCCGTGGCTGAGGAGCTTGCTCTCCCAGAACTTCTGGTCGAAATACTCGTCCCACACCAGAGTCAACGGCCCTTGAGAACTGATGATTTCTTTCATTAAAGAAACTCTGTTGGAGAATTGCTCGGCACGGCTGAGTTCCCTGCCATCATCGGGATGAGGATCGGGTCGGCCCTCATGCGGTAGCATACAATTCGAGCTCGATACCAAAAGAGTAGCTCTCGTTTCTTACGTACTTTTGTAAACCTTCCCCTCTGTCGGTTAGGAGACTAGAGTCTTCAAAATGCGATGCACGTTGATGTCTCGAAGACAAAATTGGAATCGCAATGGGCTCCTCAGGGGGCGCAGCACTTGCGATGGGATGTCAATATCTCAGATCTGGCACTTTGAGGTGTTTTGGTTGTGATTGGAAGCATTTGGACAACTCACCCAGGCCTTGCTCCTCAAGAAAGTCGCAAATCGTAGAGCAATATCTCAGATTGGGATATGATTCGTGGAAGAAGGTACCAGATTTGTCGAGACAGTGCTGAGTGAGCTTTACGCAGAAAATAGCCCAGAGAGATGTCTCCAGCATATCAAGTGTTCCACAGTGTTGATTGAATTCGATAGCAATAGTCGTCTTGTTCTCCAGGAAACAATAAGCAGGGCTCGCGTGGGGGTAGCGTCCTTCCTCACCATAAATTGCTATATCCATGAGATGTATTAAATCTTGGACGGAGGTAGCCCCCAGAATTCTGTGAATCCTATGGCGATACTTAGTTTCCCCCAGGTCTCCTGGACGGGGTAGAAGCTCCAGTGGTTTCCGGTCAGGCGAAAGGCGATTATTCCAAGGGTCCTCAACCTCGACTGCGGACAGCATCTCAGCCTGGAGATCATTGGCATCGTCCCTAGCAAGACTATTATACTGCAACCCTAGTGAATAGAGTGAGCTAGGCCCACAGTGAGCAGGATGAATATCACTCAACAGCGGGTCTACAAGACAAAGCATGGATGCGATGGCCTTCATCGAGTCCAGGCTGACGAGATGCTTCGGTATAAATACTTTGACCACTAGGCGTGCCTCTGCATTGGGAACAGTGAGGAACCCCTTGGTCATGATGTCAATGACTGTCTTTGAGTCCGTTCCCGGAATAAAAGTCTCAGGGCGGAAAGGGGGAGATTTCGACCTCAGACCGACCCATTCATACTCTTTGCATTGATATTCGTTGATGAGTCCATCGTGTTCCACTGTCCAAAACTCGAGTTCATCCTTGACCTTTAAGCCTCTCTGAGGGTTGGCCGTTGTGAGATTACTGGCATGTAGCGCCATCTCTAACTGATCGATAGCCCATTGTGCTCGAAGAAGATGCTCTCGAGATTGATAGCGATGATCTTTTGCATTACCTGGAAACCTGGAATACCCAGTAGGGGGGAAAGGCAGTGGTCTGCATGGATGATTAGGAGCCATGCCTAATATCAACTCCGTCAGCTGGATTGTGGCAAACTGCAAGGGTAAATCCACGTTGCACTTGAAAGGTTATGGAAGTCATGGCGGCTTCAAGAAACTACCTCGGTCTCCCTTTGAAAGGACCTTACCATGTATGATTTGTTCGATGAAGGAATTTGTTGTCGTATCTCTTCGCAATTATCTTGCAGAGCTAGGTACACAACTAGGGTTTAATGGGGGAAAGAATGATGAATTTGGAATAAATGAGAATTATATAGTCGCAGCAGCAAGTCCGGGACAATGCTGAAAATGTTCTTGTTTCTCGCAAACAGCAGCAGTGATCCGTCACCTGTTCTCCAGTCACACCCAGAACATGACGTGTCTCGTTGAACAGTGGCTGTTTGTTCTCGGTAGATCTAAAGCCCAAGCTGGGTCTTTGGTCACTGGTAAAGATGTTGTGGGATGTCACATTGAAGAGTTCGAAAAGTGCCAACGCGTATTATCATTAGGTCAATATGCCATTCCGTTGTATTGAAAGATGACCTCATCCTGTGCGGATGCGTCTGGGCCTAATCTACTCTTTTGTCTTCTCTTCATCTGTGGCGTTCTTGAGTTTCTTCAGAGGCTCCAGGCCAAATATCTCATCTGAGTTCAAGGGGTTTCGACTCTCAGTGACTTCGCCGAATAGGAAGGCATTCTTCTCACGGCTTACGCTGTTCGACATCTTTTTCTTATGCTGGGGCGGTGGTGACTTGTTAGACGCTGGGGACGCTTTTGAAGACCCCGACTCATCTGGCTCCAGCATCCAGGAGAAAGACGACTGCGCCAATGTTGAACGAGTAGGGACAGGAGCTGGCCGTGACGGAGCCAATGAGTTTGCATATTTGCCATCGTCGTGCGCGACTATGTCCATACGATCAGAGCTAGGAGGGTGCGCTGATTCGCTCTCGGGGGATTTCTTCGATTCGGATATCTGAAGAGCCGAGATATCAACCTCTGTAGATGCCACTGACACAGGCTCAGGCTGAACGATGGTTGTTTCAGCTACAGCCACTTCCTGTGGGCTGTCCTCGGGTGGTGGAGATTGCAACGCCGGGACTTCCATAGAAGAATCGTCTAAGTAAATCTTGACAAACTGCACCTTGGCCGCCGCAATCTCGATAAGCTCGAGGCTTTTAGCCTTGTCGTCGAGATTCGAGGCAGATATAGCTTTGAGGTTATCGACCGTCTCATCAAGCATTGCGGCAAGTTGCTGATTCCGCCTCTCCAATGCCACCAGGCTCCGGGTTGATTCTTGGTCGTTTACCAGAGGTTGCGGAGATCTAGGTGCAGATCTGGCCTCGTTGAGATTTCGTTTAATCTCTCCCATAGCATCTCGTACGGCTTGGTTGATACCCAGCTTTTCGCCTCTTTCATAAACTCCTTTGGCTCCTTTGGCGGCTCCCTGAAACAAAGCCTCCATGCCACCCTGTTGTTGAAGGAAGCGCGATGGGGATGATATTTGTGGCCTTGGGCCTGGCCCTCTATGCTTAAAAGAGTTGAAACCAAGAAAGCTCGGAGTGCCTGCTCGCGAGGTCTGAGGTGGAGAAGATAATGTCGGCATCTTTCCAGTGTATTTCATAATCAGCGATGATCCTCCAGATGGCGAGAGATGGTTCCTCAGGTACAGAGCATCATCGACAAATGTATGAGGACCGTGAGCCCCTGATGGAGGAGGGTATTTGAGAAGTAATTGAAGGCAAACAGAATAATCGGCTTCTAATACTAAGAAGGGCGTTAGCCAGGAAGCATACTTTGCCCAAGTAACTTACAATCCCACCGAATTCTAATCAGCATAGCAACACAAATGAGATCTATGAGTTCCAGGGTTGGATCGACAGCAAAGATAGTATCCCAAAGTACCAAAAACTGCTCAAAGGGGAATTCTCTGCTGAAGAGTAGCCGAATCCACCGACTAGGTATTCTGACGTCAGTGACGACGTTAGGATAGGTGCATGGGTTAATACTTACATGAGAAAGATTTGTGGTAAGATTTCAATGTTGGTTAGATGAGTAGCTAGTTCCGGGTCAACTTTCTGTAGGCAGACTTCGTGGATGAATCTGCTTCGTTCAACAATCGCAGAGCTTTGTTCTGCGAACTTGGGAGGCCGCAAAGAACTTCCTGGTGCTGGAATAACATCCTTAACCTCGTAAAACGATTGGGCGCGTTCCATAAGTTTTGAGAACAGGACAAAGGCGTCATGCTCGATGAAAGAGTGGTCGAGAGTTTTGACAAGAGCATCATCCAGAGGAATCTCTTCTGGTAAAGTCGTTGGATCCACGGCATCCTGCTCAATGACATGTAGAATAGGCGCAAGCAATTCATGCATACCCTGCCGGTAGCCACCTCGCTCAGGATTTAGTTTACAGTACATAAACAGGATATCCAAGATAATTGACTGGGTCTGGTCTTCATGGTATGAAGCTTCGTCGGGGAGTCGCTGAACGTCTTGCTGGATCTCAGCACGGACAACCTCATCTTGACGGATCGTATTCCATGGAGACTTTTGCATATAAATCAGTTAAATGGTTACGTTCCAGTTTGGTCGGCCTTACACTGGGGTCCTCTGTCAAAGGATCGATGTTCAGCTCTGCAAGAGCTTCTGGGTGTTTTATATACTTGAGGAAGTGATCCCGTTTCTCAGCGTAGAGCTTTCTTTCATCGTCCAAAACTTGGGACCAGCTCAGCCCTTCAGCAGCAGTAGAAAGAAGAAAAGTCTTAGGTAAAGGTTTAGTAGTGGACGTCAGTCAATGGGCATAGGTGAACATACCTTCCAACAAAGAGAACGGCATCCTGATATGCATGGGCTTGCAGGACCATTATACCGAACAGCACGTCGAAGATCACCAAGGTGCGCACCTTGGGATTGTGTCTCACGCCATCTCGAACTACGTAGGGATGCTCTGGTCAGTCGAAGTATTATTTGTTGTCGCTAATAGGCGCAACATACAGGGACTCTTGGAGGGGTCTCATGATGCCTGGCTGCACCAAAAGAAGAGTATAAGGCCAGTTCACCGGCTTTTCAAACAAGGCCTGAACTGAGAGTAACAACGTTGTGTGTAGACTACGGCACTGTAAAGTTGATGGCGGAGGATGGACAGAAACCTTGATTTAACGTTAACGTAGTTGAGGTACCAGCTAACGGTGTCGGCGCTTCAGGTTCAATTGGGTCTTCGCCTCAATAGCTCGGCCCCACTTCCTCACTATCTTGCCCTGGACTGCTTATGCTGGACTCCGCTGCGCCGGCGCTCAGACTGCGGTACTGAGGATCCAATGACCCTGGGACGTTGGGCAGCTCAGGGGCTGACCGCCAAACAAATAGCATCATGTCACCACCACCTCCAACTAACCTGAGGTTATCTTCGAATTCCACGACGCCGCTCAGCTCACCTCTTTGACGCCTCTCTTTAAGCCTCATCCCTGCCCTTATAAAGCGCATCTTGTGAAACGTGCTCACGAAGTAATGCATTATTAGGCGATGCACTATGTCTGCAGATCTCTTTGCCGAGTTCAATAGTCTCTCAAATAACTCAGCGCCTGCTCCTGGTCAGCAGCAACAGCAACAGGCCACTCCTTTTCAAACTCAAGCTCAGCAACAACCGGAACCTCTCCAACGGGCAGCAACACAGGACCTTTTTGGTCTGTTAGGCAACACTAGCAATGTCTCTTCTGTGAAACCCCATCCATGGCCAGCCTTTGAATCCCAATCAAGTGCGCATAGCGCATGGGGAAGTGCCTCAGTACCGTCGAAGCCGGCGGAGACAAATGACGACGATGATGGATGGGGAGATTTTGAAGTCGCCGAGCCTTCACAACCTGCAACAGTTAATGCGACTCCTGTTCAGACCCTGAGTCCTGCACCGTTTTCTGCATCAGGTTGGGGTTCGGCCGCAAATGCACCCCCAAACTCAGCAAACTCATCGTCAATACCATGGCCCAAGCCAGACCCAAGTTCGGCTGCAGCTGTAGCCCAACGAGTGCCTGGAATGAAACAGCAACCGCCAACTCGAGTTGTGAGAGCGTCGACCATGGACCTATTATCCAACAGTCTTGTCGATATAGGAGGAGCTTCGAAGCCCGCTAGTGCCCCGAAAGCCCAGCCCTCTGGAACACAGTCACGGTTTACGCAAGAATGGGGACAGCCAACAGTTGATCAGGAGCCGCAACAGCGGATGAAAGCGAAACTCAAGCCTTCGGCACAACAAGATCCCAGTGTAATATTTGATGCTGAGGACTTTGAGCTTCAGGTTGCTGAAGGTGAAGATGATGACGATGACGATGATGAGTTTGGAGACTTCGAAAGTGTCCCTCCTCCGGCGGCGACGAGAATGGCACCTGCAGTTACTGCCCAAGAACCACCACCCGCTCCTCCATCAATGGATCTTCTTTCTTTAGACGAACCAGCTCCCGCTCCATCGCAAACAACAAAAAAGCCACCGCCCACCAAGCTTCTCGGGCCTCTTGCTTTTGGTGCCACTGCTACAAATTATCCCCAGGCACCAAAATCACCCTCCTTCCAGGATCGTAACCCTTTCCCAGAGTTAGCTATTAAAACGCCTACTTTTGAAGAACCAAAACCTGTTCAGAAACCCAAGGAAGAAACACCCACCACAGCATGGCCATCCTTTGAAAGTCCGAAGGGCGCCAATCTTGCTGAAACCAAGTATCAAGATGATGAGTGGGATGCTTGGGACGATTTTACTGCCTCCGATAATAAGAAAGCAAACGCCAGCACAGGAAAAGCACCGGAGGGTTGGGATTGGGACGCAGTTGATAATGTTCAACCATCACATAAGGAATCCCAGGACGATGCTCCTCCACCAATCAATGTCCCACCTCCCTCGGTCATCCTGTCTGCATTCCCTGATCTTCTCAACTCAGGTACAGCTTTCTTCAAGCCTATGTCAGGCCACAGCACATCAATCAAACAGCGAATCTTATCGGATCCCAAAGCTACAGAATTCCTGCGTGGTTATATCCTTTTAGCAACAACTGCCGCGCGAGTTATTGCTGGCCGTAAACAACGATGGCATCGGGATAAGATTTTAGCAAAAAGCATGTCCATCTCCGCTGCGGGAAGCAAGGGTATGAAACTTGCAGGAGTTGACAAGACACAGGCTGCGCGTGAAGATCGTGAGGCCGCTGATGTGGTCGCTGTATGGCGCGAGCAGGTTGGTCGCCTGCGATCTGCAGTTGCTGCGGCCAAGTCTGTCGATAAGAACCTGTCACTTCAGGTCCCTGAGATTAGCGAGAACATGCAAGTGCATACAGCCAAGATGGTACCGACAGCACCAAGAGCTTGTATTATCTGCGGTCTGAAGAGAGACGAGAGAGTAGCCAAAGTAGATTACGAAGTCGAGGATAGCTTTGGGGAATGGTGGCTAGACCACTGGGGACACAAGGCGTGCAAGAACTTTTGGATAGAGCATGAGCAAAAGCTAAGACAACGATGAGAGGAGCGAATGTTAATATGTAGTCAAAGTATCATTGGAAATTCTCGTCTTTGGCAGTCGATGCTGCTTCTCTATCGATACATCGCAAAGGCAATATATGAGATCACTTGGCACGATGTTACTCACGGCAATACTCACTTGCAAGTTCCACGGTGACTATGTGCACTACACGACAGGTGCTTGAGGTTGTCAACCGTGATACTTGGTGACTCTTTGCTTCATTACTCCACCAGCTGTGGACATCCAACAACCAATCCCAGAGACAGGAGCTGCAGGTGGGTAATATAAAGTGAAATAAACATCACTTATTAATCCCTGTCACAATGCGTTCGTGCATTTCGAGCGACTGTGTGATGGAAAGGCATTGGCTATGGATTATCTGTGCTGCAGAATAACAAGCGAGCCGGCACGTTGTTAACGACTTGCGGGAGCGGCCGTTGTACAGCTTTCGAGCTGGGGGGAAATACCGCTGTAGCCGAAGGCGAAGAGATTGATTCTTTGAGAAGAATAGGAGGATAGTCAAGATATACTGATATTTCATCGCTATCGGTGGCGTGTTTCAACATCGGCCAAACTAAAGCTGCAGCTCCTTGTTGATTATCACGAAGAGTGTCCAATGAGGTTGCGAAACTTAACCTTTGATCTGCCATTGGGTTTTCTTCAACACCGCATCACGGTGATATGATAGTCGAGATGCTCTCGCCTACGAAGATCTTCTCGTTCCTTTGTCCTCTCTGTACTTGGCATCATTGTTATGCATCTAGTATCAGCCCGATAGAGCGATCAATGGAACAATGCAGCGCTGATCGGCTGTGGGCGATTACAAAAGACACAAAGTCAATGCTCACCTCCGTGGCCCACTCCGGCCCGTGTGGGTGTGCTGAAAAACTCCCGAGTGACCAGGTTGCCAGGGAGTGTTGGCTTCGGAATTGGTGGGCAGAAGGGAAGGGAAAGATGCCAGGAACTTCGGATGTTCGCTTGATTCCCAGAGAGGATTAGTGGAGTATGCCAAGAAATCCTGACTTTCCACTGACATTGTGTGTGTGGCCCGGCTATTGTGAAATCGAAGACAACCACGCTTAGCATGAGACCTGTCTGTCTACCTCAGCCTCGTTCCTAACTGTCAGTTCTGTTCTCGACATTACCAACGTGTATAGCTTTGACCTACCTATACTACGAAACCAGGAATATATCATCAATTTAAAGCTCTCTTGCCCTAACATTGAAGGGAGGGGTTGAGCATTATCGTAATCGTTCGTGCCTGTCCCGTCAGTTACGGCTACTACCTAAAGGCGGCGTTGTGGAACATAGATACCCTCCCACTAATCTCTCAGATAATTCTAGTAGGTAAGGTAAGGTATAGTAGCTAGAGTAGTCAGTATATAAGAGCTTGGATATCCTGATTCTAGGTGTTTGCTCCCTTATAACAAGAAGACTTTGAGATTGAAGTGTTGAGCTCGTCTTCGACAGAGCTAACAATGGATATATGCCCACAAAAGAAGTGTTTCTTACCTTGAGTTGGGTCCATGCATGGGTGTGGGTGTCAAAGCTTCGGTACTTTCCTTTCAGGTATATCTTCCCCTCACCTACGTGACAATGTAACAGTAAATATATAGAGGCTGCGAAGGCAGGACTGATTAGAGTACTTGTTTCACAAGTGTCTTATCGCTTCTATGTTCTTTCCCCTCCATGTGTTGCCTGTCTTACTCCACTCCATTTACGGGCTCCTACTGCCACAATAGGTACTAGACAAAGGCACTGCACCTAGGTTTTAGCTGCTTGGTTGGCAGGTACAACTGGAACACTCCTTCTGTGTGGTCAGTGGTCGGTCGCTCGTGGTTTTTAGCTGTCTTAGGTTGGTTCTGGCCCTGGCCATCCAATTGCTTTACCTTACAATAGGTGCAATACCTTAGCCTAGGTGCCTTGGGTTAGTAGCTAGCCCATGATTTCCATCTCTTTTTCCTCTTCTTCGATCCTTCACCCTACTTACATCTCTCTCACCTCACCTTTTCCTCGCCTTCACCACCTCTCTTCTTCCTTTCCCTCCCCTCCAGCTTTCTCACCTTCCTCCCGCTCTCCTCACATTTCCCTCTTTCTACCGTCGACTCTGCTTCGTCTACGGTACATTACATCAGCTGTTGACGCACGCCTCCCACGCATCGTTCTGTAAGGTAGCCCACCCGCCCGCCGCCGCCGCCGCCGCCGCCGCTTTCACAACCAGAGTGCTTGCGACCCTTGACCCCGCTATCCCGCTTCGCGTACACGACTGCAAGAAAAAAACACACTGCACCACCTCCCCATCTTCCTACCCCCGCCTTCTCCAGCACACTTGGACGTCTTCGCAGTTTCCACAGCGTTGACGATAAGGTTAGTACACTCGTTATATTTCTGTCTTGTCTCTCCTGGGGAGATGCCGTTTTATATTATCATGAGGGCAGGTACTTGTATCTGCTCTTCTCTGCCGTTTTGAACGTGCACCGCAAATGAGGGATGATCATTAGACCCTTGATTTGCGCCTCCTACAATGGTGACAATGGAAGAATATATCCTGACAGCATTTTAGATCCGATCAGACATATCCTACCTTCGTCTGTTCGTTCTCCTCCAAACGATCCGCTTCCAACTCGAATCACGACTTCTTCTCCACGTGTACCCCGACCTAACTACTGCAAAATGTCGGCACCTCAGGATTCTATTCCCGGCAACGGAAGCGACATCCTCGATCAGATGGATCAGCTTAGAATGGATGACCGCCTTGGCCCTGATGGCGAACCCGCCCCTAAGACGGACGAGGAGTATGCCCAGGCCCAGCTCACCCTTCGTGCGATTGTCTCTTCCAAGGAAGCCGGTGTCATTATTGGCAAGGGCGGCAAGAACGTTGCCGATCTTAGAGACGAGACTGGCGTCAAGGCCGGCGTCAGCAAAGTTGTGCAGGGTGTTCATGACCGTGTTCTGACCATCACCGGCGGTTGCGACGCTATTTCTCGAGCCTACGCGATTGTCGCTCGCGCTCTGCTCGAAGGTGCCCCCGCTATGGGCATGGGAGGTGTAGTTCAAAGCAACGGTACCCATCGTATGTGACGATTTCTGCCAAAGGCAATCGAACTTTGGAATGCCCGCTAACTTAAGCTTCAGCAATTAAGCTCCTCATCTCACACAACCAGATGGGAACCATCATTGGAAGACAAGGTCTTAAGATCAAGCACATCCAGGATGCTTCTGGAGTCCGTATGGTTGCCCAGAAGGAGATGCTCCCTCAATCCACTGAGAGAATAGTCGAGGTTCAGGGTACTCCCGAGGGTATTCAGCGCGCTATCTGGGAAATTTGCAAGTGCTTGGTTGATGATTGGCAACGAGGCACTGGCACCGTCCTCTACAACCCTGTTGTCCGTACTCAGCCATCCGGCAGCGGAAACGCCAGCGGTGGTGCAGGATTCAGCCAAGGGTCCGGTAGAAGCGATTATGGTGGTAGCCCTCGTGTCATGCGAACAGGCAACGGCGCCGATTTCAGCAACGGTAACTCAAGGCCGTACAACCGCCGGTCCGACTCTGACGCAGCCCTTCGAGGCCCGCCAACACACGATGAGAATGGTGAGGAGATCCAGACTCAAAACATCAGCATACCCGCGGACATGGTTGGCTGCATCATTGGTCGTGCTGGTAGCAAGATTAGCGAGATCCGAAAGACATCTGGCGCCCGTATCTCTATTGCCAAGGTAAGCAATTTTCTCCTTCTCCCCCCCTTTTCATCTTGAGCACGAGTGAACATAGCTGATCGCGTGAACCACAGGCACCTCACGACGAGACTGGTGAGCGCATGTTTACCATCATGGGCACCGCCAAGGCCAACGAATCGGCGCTATTCCTTCTGTACGAGAATTTGGAGGCGGAGAAGATGCGCCGAAGTCAGCTCCAGGAGCCCGAGTAGGCGACTAATGTTTTTTTAAACCTCTTTGAGTTTTGCTTTTCTCGTGTTCCTTGCGACTTGCAGAGGTCAGTTCTGGCAAGGTGAGCTGGGACACGTCCAGATCTGACTTGCCGCGAGGCTTGTATTTTCATTTTCGGACGATACCAGACGACAGCGTCACGAGCGACCAATCCACTTGTCCAACCATTTGGCCCCTTCCACCCAAAAACGAAACCTTTTATCATCAGTCATCGTCATCAAATTCGTTTTCCTTTCATGATTCTTCCCCCTCTCGTTACCATTGGTACGCTACAGCACCACAGTCAGGGGTCAACTTGGGTTGATCTCGGCTCACACCTTGGTTGTCACCTGGTTCCCTCCTCTGAATCAATCACCCTCTTTGTGGCGCGATACATCGCTATTCAAACTCTGTAGCATATCCATATGTACCAGTTTTGCTCAACCGACTTCTTGGCGAAAAGTAATCTGCCTTCTTTGGAGGAAACGGTTTCGTGGTTCGGTGCAGCAACGCATGGCACAGTTTTCTTTTTACGACTGTTAAACCACGTCGGGACAGCCCGACATGGCTATGGCTTAATGACACAAATTACCTCCGAAGAGCGGTTAACGATAGGGATAGCGCAACACTCCAGGGACCGAGAAGGGCACATCACGGTTCCTCAAAACAATCTCTGCCCACGCTTCGCGTCACCTTCCCCGTCTCTTTCACCTCGCACAACTGTTTCTATCTCTTACATCCTCGGATCCCGACATCGTCACGCGACCCGCGACTCCCGTCTTATCGCTCACATAATTCCCATCACTCATCGCTCTCACACACCCCCGTGACATCAATTATACTGGCTCACCCATTGTGTATTCTGCTCCTTGCTGGCCTGTTTCCACGACAAGGTGACTCTTTATTCCATGTGGGATTTCAGAAAAGGCATTCTTAGGTGGAACGGACTTAGCTCGGATTCAAGAGCCATCAAATAAAATCGAAATTATGAGCAAAGCCCGTTACTTGTCAAGTAAATTGAAGTGAAGTCGTATGATTGTGGTGTTAGATGGTAGAATGTATGGCTTTGCAAGTGTGGCTGAAGAAAGCCGCTGACAACCCTTAAAATACCTTAGTTCCGGTTGATGTAACTGTGGCTGGTTCCATCGTAGTGGGGCATCTTTGTCTCATGGTTAATTGATGAAGCCAACTTGTCAGTTTGGTCCATCATGGCAACTTGTGATTGATTTAATTAACCATTTTTCCGGTTCTCTCTTCGCTCTCTTCACTCTCTTCGCTCTCTTCATTTCTTAATCCTCTCCTTAAGACTTGGTTTCTGGATTATTCACAATCTTTTCATTCACTCACGCTTTTTCTATCTTTTCCCCCTTAACAGTCCTGGGAATGGCACGCTCCAAGCAACCAGCTATCAAGCGTGAGGCATCCTCAGAGTTCTTCAACAAGACGACTGCAACATGGGAGGATACTAATCAATCGCAAAAGAGCCCTTCCAATGGAAACATTACGAATAAGGTCTTGCCTGTTCCTGCACCTGCGCAAGAAGCTGGGCTCTTGCAGCTTGTCATCGCCGTCGCGGGAATCTATGCTTCATTGTAGGTTCAGCCCCAACAGCTCTCATGGCAAAATCGCTAATACAGCCGTCGCGGATAGCCTCACTTGGGCATATCTTCAAGAAAAGCTCACTACCAAGCCATATGGTCCCGCCGACGCCCCGGAGGTCTGGCACTTCCCCGTCTTCCTCAACACCATCCAATCCGTTTTCGCCGCCATCGTAGGCGCTGTCTATCTCTATGCCTCGACGCCCAGCAACGCCGCCGTTCCTCCTATTATCCCATCGCGCCGCATCCTTGGGCCTCTCGCGCTTGTTGCTGTCACGAGCAGCCTCGCGAGCCCCTTTGGCTACGCATCTCTTGCCCATATCGACTACATCACGTTCCTCCTTGCCAAGAGCTGCAAGTTGCTACCTGTCATGTTCCTTCACATCACTGTCTTTCGCCGTCGCTATCCGCTGTACAAGTATCTCGTGGTTTCGGCCGTGACTCTCGGCGTGGCTGTCTTCACGCTGCACTCTGGAAAGAAGAAGGGCAGCAAGGTCCGACCTGACGATGCAAGCACAGCATGGGGCCTGCTGTTGCTGGGTATCAACCTCCTTTTTGATGGCTTGACAAACAGCACTCAGGACCATATCTTCCAGACATTCCGACCGTACTCGGGCCCTCAGATGATGTGCGCCAACAACATCATGAGCACTATTGTCACGGGTACCTACTTGATCGTCAGCCCTTGGTTGGTCGCGACAGGTCTCGGAGAGTGGTTTGGCATGGACGTCGCTGGTAACGCGGGCGAGCTCAAGGCTGCTTTGGACTTTATGGCTCGTTATCCCGCTGTCTGGAAAGATGTTCTCGGTTTCGCTGCGTGCGGTGCTATCGGCCAAGTCTTTATCTGTAAGTCTCAACCTCCTCCACCAGATCAGTATCCCAGGCTAATCATGACCAGTCTACACGCTGTCCACGTTCTCATCCGTTCTTCTCGTTACTGTCACTGTAACACGCAAAATGTTCACCATGATACTATCTGTTCTCGCTTTCGGCCATCGGCTCACGCAGATGCAGTGGCTTGGTGTCGCGCTTGTGTTTGGCGGCATTGGCGTTGAGGCTGGCATCGCGCGACAGGAGAAGATGGCCAAGGAGGCTGCTAAGGCACAGCAAAATGGCAAGAAGGAACTGTAAATGCATCTTGTTTATTTTCTTTGTTAGTGAGTGATAAATTACAATATGTATAGTGGCTCGAAGGGGCACATCCGAGGGGAATAAGGAGTAAATCAAGTGTGAGGGGCGTTTACAGGAGTTGGTTAAAACGATCTCAACGCCTCGCAGTAATTGCCCACAAAATGGCCGAGTGCGTCTGCTTTGGAAACGCAAACTTCATAATCTGTCATATAGAATGAACGAGGGTCAATACGATGTATAATCCTTTTGATTATCACCTAAATAAGTACTATATAAAGCCTTCTTCTTCACACTGTCTCTTGCTGTACCAAGAACCCTTTTGCTTCCTGGAAAAAACGCCGTGGTGCTATAACCCAACACAGTAACTCGTCTTTTCCTTAGCAACACCTGTACATACACAACCCCTCTCCATGACTGGGTATTTGAGCCCTCCCAATGATTCCCCTTGGGGTACCTGAAGCCATACGCCACTTGCATTTTGTTGTCCAAAACGGACAAAGCGAGAACCAAAAATAAAACTGAAACAAGAGTGACAAGACGGAGTGTCTTTGTCTATATTACACTGGGTCATTGTGAAACCTTCCGACGCCATGCGCTGTGCATTGCTGAAAAAGAGAAAAAGCGAATGTTTGTTATGAGGAGGATATAACGATTGGAGAAGATCGGTGACAAAGAAGATGTATTTGGTTATTTGCGTGTCATCGTGCGGAAGGTTGAGAGACCATCCGGGATCGAGGGTCGGATAGAGTGCAGTTATAACTCTGCCCTGTTGCTAAAACGCCCCTGAAATGCTGTGGTTCATATTGTAGAATAGCGAATGGGATTTATAAAATAAAACAAAAGCGATAGTAATCGTCGTACTTCTTCCCTTGGAAGTTGGTTCGTTCGACTTGAAAGCGAAACACAAGGTTAAGCTTCATCATAAGAGATCATCAATTGATCGAATAATAGGTGCCTCGCCTTTTGTAGGTGGACTCCTGGGATCTGCAACGACCGGTGGTCTTCCGAAGGTTGAGAAAGGGTCTCGAGGGAACATGCCCGCTCGGGGAGAAAACAAGCCTTGGCTCGGAGTTGGTGGGCTCTCGACGAATCGCATCCCAGCAACTTCATGGACGTCATGAAGCGGATTGTTAGTCATCGTCTCGGCTCTCGGTGACAACAGAGCATTATCATCTGGGTATGAACCAGGAAGAGTTATCGTTCTCTCCACTGGCGCATCACTAAATCTCATTTCCGACGGCGCCGGATTGAATCGTGGGAAAGTCATGGTCTGGAAGCCAAGACTCGCCTGAGAGGGGAACCCAGGCGAAGGTGGAGGCTTCATGATCGAGTCCACCATTGGAGACGGGGCTAAAGTTGGTGGTGCCTTGCCCTGACTTGACACGGGCCTCTTAGGCAAGTCGCCAAGTTTGAAAGGATCCAGGTGTTCTGACGAGTGCTGCTCAACCTCGTCTTTCCAGGTGCAAGTTGGGGGCGCCGAAGCTGGGCCAGGTGAGACCGGTCGGGGCCCGGGTGTTGAGTTGCCGCGAAGTCGATTTGGGCTCGAATTCAAGCCCGAGTCCTTCGAATCTTCGTTCTGTGTTGGAAGAGGAGCAGTCTGTGGCTCCTTAGCTCCAATGTCGATAGCATCAACAGAGAGTGTGATTCTATGCTTTGAAGGGCTACGGCCAGGACGGGGACGGTGTGACGGTAGCGCCGTTCGCTTCGTTGACACTTCCTTCTGGAAATCCTGCAGCGAGTACATGAGTTTCATGTTCGGGCTGATCCATTGGCTCTTGGCTTGAGCCGCGTAGTAAGCATCATTCACGGTGAGATACGGTTTCTGGAACAGGCCGTAGGCAATGATCAGACTGGCAGATCGACTCGCGCCCTGCTGACAATGGACAAGCACACGTTTGCCAGCTTTTGTCCGCTTATCAATAACATCGCACAACTCCATAAGATCCGGCGCAATGTCGGTATTGTGGTCCCAGGGAATATGGATGTATTCAGGCTCTTTAAATTGAAAGGCCTTTGGTGTGGTAGGTGTGTCAGCTGAATCCTCCTGAGGATATTCCCAGGCTGTCATGAAGCTGGCTGTGGACACAGCAGTATCGGGGATAGGACTTTCAATTCCAGAAACAGGGCGTCGCATAGACTGGAATGGTGATTGCGACTGTGATTCACGGACCACTTTGCGAATTTCAAAGGGGTTGCTGACTTCGCGAGCGCAATTGATGACTACGTCAAAACGCGATGCTTCATCAGCCGTGGGTTCCGAGTAGAGGAAAACATTGTCTCCGTAGATCGCAATTGGCCCATCAGGGTAGCCTGGCGTTTTCATGTCCTCGTTGTTCTCGTTATCGCGATAAGGGTCATCATCTCGAATGGCCATCTGAGTACGAATTGGCGAATCTTCCTCAGTGATCGCAGAATGGAAAGCTGGTTTCATACTCGACTTTGTGGGTCGCAATACTTCTGAAAGTCCGGATTCGTTTCTTTCCAATACCTTGGGGAAAGTCATACCGCCAGGTGGACCGAAGGTCGCGGACTTGAGACCGGAAGACATGTGAGGTGAGGAGCAAGAATGCTTAAGAGCTCGACGCTGGAGCATCGGCATGGCTGGTGAGGGGGGGACCTCCAGGGTGGTCTTATGGATCAAGTCAGAAGTATTGGTCTTGAGACTTAACTGGCTAGGCTTTCTTCTCATAGCAGGAATCGTAGGTTTGATAAATGATGGAGAAGAAGGCTCGGAGACCAGCGAAATATTTGTCGTTGAAGTCGAGGCAGCGAATGGGGGCTGGATAGATAGGCCCTTCATATTGCGCCCTCTTCGAGGCGAGGGTGATGTCATTGGTCGCTGCAGCCGAGGAGGCTCACTCAAGAGAGTAGTGGTTGTACTGCTGAGGTTGGTAGAGAGGTTGCCAAAGCTCGTGGCCGGATAATTGTTGAGGGGAATAAGATTCATAGGAGAATCGGGAGAAGATGAGGGAGACGCATCTGAGAGGGGCGAAGAGTCGGTTGTAGACAAGGTCGTTGTGGGTGAAGAGTCTGCCGACTCGGAAGTCTGTGTCGATGTGCTATCGTGATGCTTGTGTGTTGGGTCGACAGGCATCATGCTAGGGCCGAGACCATGTTGAGGAGGAGCACCCATCATGCCAGGTCGCTTTGGTTCCATGTCGACGAATTTGGTGTCCATGAGTGTCACAGTGTCCTGATCTGCCATTGTCTCGGCATCCAGATCAAACACTGTCATAAAGGGCGGTATTTGATCTTCGTACACTCTTCTGTCCGTAACTGAAGGCATGTTTTGGTATCCGCTTGGCGATCTAGTGAGTCAAGTCTGCTCCGGGACGTGGAGGGAAGCGAAGCAGATGTTGAGGGACAATTAGTCTCTAGTCTGCGTACCGGGTATAATTCGAGGTTTTGATCAGGGCGTTGAAACACCAGTTGGCTTCCACCTGGGACAAATATGGTTGAAATTATGTGAATATGTGCAAAGGTTTGTAAATTGGCGGGCCAGAAATAAATAGTCCGGCAAGAGAAACGAATGGCTTCGCGGGTCGCGGTGCGATCGAGAGCAGGTCAAGTCGGTCGTTCGATGGGTCAGCGCAGCTGATCTTGTCGCTGAGCGTGCCAGTAGTGGGCAGTGCTCAGTAAACGCACGCAAGTTGCTCGACTTGGTAAATGAGAGACAAGCCTCACGGTGGACAGTGGTCTTTAGAGAGAGAGAAATGAAGTTCTTGCTCGAAAACAGATCGCAATTTGGACTGTAGAAGCAATCGAGAAAGAAGCTACTGCTACTGTCGAGTCTAGCGGGTAGCAGGGAGAATAGTCGAAGGGACGAGCCCAGAGAACTTATGAGACAAAGAACAGGCGCTTCGGCGATGGGTAGCGGCAGGGCAGGGCTGCGAGTGGCACTGTCAGAGTCGCGAGATCATTATTTCCCTTTATGAGGGAGACCGAGCCGTCGTTCGAGAGAAGATGTTATATCAGGCCGGAGCGCAGTGGTCTGAGGTGAAGTGGAAGGTAAAGGGAAGGGCGAAGAGAAGAAGATTGAAATTGAAGATCGAAGTGACAAGAGGAAGTGAGAGAAAGATGAGAGGAAGAGTAACGAGTTGGAGGGGAGTGTGAGACTGAGCGAGAACGTCTTGGGATTGGATTGGATTGAGTTTAGCTCTGGGGGAGAACTGGTTGAGGGGTGTGAGTTGCAAGCAGGCGCTACCTGAGGACAGTGTCTTCCAAGGGATATTTCATACGGTACCGGTTATGGGTGCCTCTCACGGGAGCCCAGGCTACCAGGGCAGTCAGCTGCCTGGTGGAGGCTCAGTGCCCTGTATGAGAAGAACCTGGGCGTGCTGGCGACATAGCAACGGCGGTATCTCAAACAGTTATCGAGGTATCCAGTCCAATCCGATCCGGGAGCAACTAATCCAAGACCTCAAGTTTTCAACAGCGCACGGCGGTAAAAAAGTGTTTTGTTTTCGTGGTATGAAACAAATATCCGCCCGTAGCAGGCGGCAGCACCTACGCATGCGCTGTGTCGCTTGCTGGCGGTTGCGGCCATGGATGGCAAAGGTCAACTAATGTAATGTAATGTCATGTCATGTCAAGCATGCTGCTGCACAAGGCGAGAAGAGACCTGAACTGGAAGCCCTCCGCATCCCAGGGAAACGTGACATGGCAAAGTCCAAGCAGTGTCAGCTCCATGGACCCTGCAATGGCACAGGAAGCAAGAATGGTATACGAAACATGCACTAGGGTTGACGATACTTGGAACCAGTTTCGGCAAAGGTTATTGATCATACCGGTATGTTGAATCTACCGTGTTTGCTTAAAATCTTTTCGTGCGAGTAGTTATTGGGTTGAATATTGTCATCTTGACTGGCTGAATCCAAGCCCTGCTTCATATGTCACTCCCTTGCCAATATGGCTACGATACCTATCCATGAACTAATGCGTCGAGCGGTGTCCAATGGGAAAGAAACATCCGAATTGCAATAGTCGCCCTAGAACATCGATTTTCAGGTCAAGGCCGCCTGCAAGACCCAACTGAGCTGGATTCAATGAGCAATCAATCAATCAATCTTACGGATCGATCTCCAACTCTCGCTTCTCGTCCTACTAACGTAGGCTCCTCTCTCACTTTCACTCAGAAGATGAGCGAAAATGGGGCGAGCACCTCAAGGGCGCTACGATGAACCACTCAGAGCTCCCCTTGTCCGTTCCAAGTTAGCCACGGCCGTAGAGTCTGCTTTGTGAGTGGAGGGTTCGCTGCACGAAACGCGTTCAGGATCCTAAATATAGACCTCGTGCAGCACTCTGCAGCATGGAAGGCGCCTACAGCCAGCCAATCATGTCCCCGTGGTCCAATTTGGGGACTAGAGAATTGCAGAACAGGGGGGCGGGGTGTGAAGTTGAAACGCCAGGACAGGGTCGAGGGTTTAAATTTAACCCGCAGGTGGAGAGGTACCTCCTCTTCAGTAGTTGAAGCTACACTGTGCTGACGAGAGTGTTTGGGTTGCTTGTTCATGTGCAAATGCGGTACAGTCGAATGGGTAATTTGCTGAAGGACGATGGGGCTATCTGAGATCTTGACGGGATTAGGAAACGATGGGCAAAAAAGAAGACAATCGAGCCAGTCAGCTATGCATCTATCAGTCAGTCAATCAGGAGTTGAAGACAAGAACAGACTTTCAAGATTCCAACGTTGAGGTACACATGCACATCATACCCTTTTGTCATCCAACCTCCTCAACTCAATTCCAAACTACCTTACCTACTATTATTACCTTACCTTAAGCTTCTATCCTCCAACCTCCTGTTATGTAGGGCTGCAGCTCTTCATATCGTCTCATAACTGGCTGAATTATAGTATCAATTAAACTTATTCAGATAAACCATATAATTCTTTGGCACTTATCGTCTCAACTCTGCTGCTTGTGCACGCCACTCCGTAACGCCGTCGCCAGTCCAAGCAAAGGCAAAAAAGCCTGGCCTGACCCCGGCCCGTTGGCCGTGATTCGGCCATCTGTTGGCGTCACAGGCGGACAAGGGGCCTTCTGTAACCTCCAACATCTAACCTCTCTGCAACTGTTAGAGATAGGCAGCTCAGTGCAGACACGGGGGCAATAGGGTGCCCCCCTGTTCCTCCACCGTCAACTAACGTTACTGCGCCTGTTGCCGTACGGGACCGGCCCAGCCTGGCTACCTGGGCCCTGGGTCCTGGGAAGAAGTGCACTGGCTGCGGTCTGGCTATGGCTACGGTGTTCGCTGGCCGGGCAGCAGAGTGTCATACAAACTGGATATGATATCGATCGAAACGCGACAACCAAGTGCTCGGCTCGCGTGGCCTTTGTTTAGGGTTAAGTGGCCGTCGGAGTTGAGCTGTCTGGTCTCGTGGCTTAGCCTCGGTTGGTTTGCGCCACTGCGGCGTCTCCAGTTTTGGGAGACATTTCTATTCTTGACCAAGAACACGTCAAGTGATCAAGAGGCCGACTTGAATGGATAGTAAGAATGGGTTTTCAGAAGTGAAGCTGACATCCTAATCAAGGACTATTGACGTTAAAGTGGTGGAGACATTTAAAAGAGATTAACGACTTCGACCCAAGATGTGTTATAATACGAAGGTTTATTTTTATCGAGCTGAGAACCACATCACATCCAATATTGCAATGAGTCAAGTTCCTTTTTGCCACTGTCCCGATCCATTGTCCAAGCAAGTAGGTACCTCAGGTTAGGAGTTAGTTGATGAGAAATTAAAAACTGTGTCGGAAATATTTCCCGTCGGTATGTAAAAGAAGCAGATCCAAGCTACCCAAGCTCTTCGTCCATCTCCATTCATCCACAGCAAGTTCAGCCACCAATTAATTCAACCATGTTCAGAAACAGACCGGGCCGCACTTTTCCTCCTTAGCCTCCTCTGACGGCAGATCAAAAGACGCCAAGCTACAACAAGAGTGGCTCACAGTCTGAAACCCCTGGCCTAGGGAATGAAAAAGCGGGAAAATCTTGAGCTCCATCGAGTTTCAGCTTTTTTTCTAACGCTCGTTCACCAACAAGTGAGTGACCACCTACCAGATGCAGTCAGAGGAAGCCCAAGTGCCCAAGGAGAAGAAGGAAATTTCAGACCGCACAGTGAAGAGACAAGATTGGCTGCATCGGCTATTGGCTACTGCACGTCAAATTGCCTGGACCATATGGACCCAATCTCCAATGACATCCAATATCGAGTTGAGTCCCTTTTTTTAGCTTGCGCTTGCAGGCTTCTTCTTCCAAAACTCGTGGCCTTCTGCGCTAGACGTTGATCAGCAATCTACTAATATGTCCCTTATTATTGCCCCTGCAGGGTTCGTCAATACAGTCCCATCATCTCCTGCCGTTTAGGAAATCGCCTCTGAGAGACAAAAGAGGATTCGAACCGTTCCTTTGATGAGGTGAGGTGTATGGTTCACCTGAATGTTGCAGCACAAGGTACGAAGTACTTTACTGTACTATACAGGGCTGTCTTGTCCTGCTGGGAACCATAGTCTACATCCTCGCCGCTAAAACTACACCTTCACAAGACCCAAAAATAAGACGGGTCTTGATCTGAAACGAGACTCTCCATTACAGGGTCGCTTCGCCCTCGACTACGCAACTCTCGATCACCATTTCTATCATCATGAACATCATCCCGCAAATCTTTCTCCTATCCCCTGACTCCTGAGATCCAGGCGCTTGGACTTGGACTTGGACTTGGAATTGGGGCTCAATGTTACAATTCATGAGTGCCCTCAATGTTCAGCAAAGTTGCAGAATAGAGATCTCTTTCTTTGTAGCAAGTTTGTGTGCAATTCCGTCCCAAGCTTGAGCTAGCCCTCCCAGTAGTACTTCTAGGATTCAAACCGAGTTTGTTATCAGTCAATTGCACGGTACAAAGTCGTTCTCATCTCGTTATACTACCTCTTAGACTGCATAGCCGCAACTGCGCTTGTTTCGAGTCAATGGCTGTGCTGTATTGTGTTGCCGCCGGTTCAATATCTACCCAGTCACAGATTCCTTATGCTGCAACTCACTCGCCTGTGAGTCTCGGACACAGCAAATTTGAGACGAAAATCACATCTCCAGGGCAACCCTTGATTCTCGTCCTTGTATCACGTGTGGCTAAGTAATGACTTGAAACTGAGGCTCCGGTAACATCGGTAGGGATCTGTGATATAGAACTGGCCCGTTGCTCTACTATGCACACCGTACTTTCTCTTGAAAAGGATAACTCATATAAAGGCAGGTCTCAGTTCGATGCTATTGATGACCTCGGTACTCGGTCGTGTCTCGACCGTCTCGCACGTACATAATACTGAATGCTGGTAACTTAATACATGGGGAGCCGCCTCTACGTACTGTAACTAATATACTAAGGTGACTGATTATTTCCTTATAGTGAAGCAAGGATATGGTCTCGTTTTTTTTTTTTAGTCATATAATGGCATCGAAACCTAATCGTCGTCCGCGTGTGAATGGATCACTTACGTGGTATCAAGGAGATATTCCCCAGGATTATATGTGCACCATCAAAAGGAATAAACGCTGATTCTTGGCTGGTCCGTTAGGGAAGTATATCAGGTGCAACGATATTTTTCCGTGCATGGGTACAGGGTCGTTTGTTTCAGGTTCAACGTGAGCACACTACCGAGGAACCCGATCAAGTTTTGGGACTCAGAGGTGTTTTACTTAAGCTTTGCTGGGTCTTGTTTGATGAAATTTCTACTGCCATGGTTTCATGTGACTTGGTTGCTTGTTGCTTGTGTGGCTATTATTTGAGTGTTATTCCGAACGACTATGTCAACATAGATAGGGCAGTTATGTTTCCTTGATGGATTTAATCAATTCCAATAACTCACACCAGTATGAACAACGTCATATTAACTTTGGTCTACAGCATTAGTATCATACATGGTTTTTATTAGTTCTGCGAGTGCCTTGGAGGTTATGGATGTCTAAATACATTTCCATTTCTGTATAGAGAATCAACAGCCAGAGGAAATCGATGCTATTTGAACGATACATAGAGCTTAGATTGTGTTACTAAGTTTATCTTCTGTTTCTTGGTCACTGCAATTGTTCCTGTGTTGACTTATACCAGGTTGAGCAATCGAGGCAAAGCATGCGAGAGGCGAATTATAACGCTTTATCTCTTTGAAGATGCTTTCAAAGTTACCTTACACAGAAGTTCTATATGCATAGGTATTACTTACAACTGGGACGATAGATGAGACAGATATTTGTTATCACTTGTTGCCATTACTCAGTCCTCATCTATCCGTGATTCCAACGTCTGCATTTAGGGTAAGCTACCCAACTTGCTTTTCATCATCCAGTATTTGTTGTCTGGAACACTACGGCTATAACCGCTATGCTCTGGCTCGGGACGATTCTCATTGACTTTGATTTCTTGCTAAATAGAGTTGTTTTGCCAATGAGATGTTATTTGGAGGTTCTTGGTGCTAGTACTTTACAAACACAAACATCACACTTGGGACACAAATAATGATATACCACGATGAGATATGTGTACCACGAAACGAATCATGAGTCATGGTAACGCTTAAGAGCATTATGTGTGACATATAACCTTCACATCGACAATTTGAGCATCAGAAAACACGTATCAAGTGACGGCCAGGACTGCTGTCAATGCTCTAATTGAACTTGGCTACCCTATAGAGTACTTGCTAGTATCAAAGAACACAGCTGCATAGTCTCGAAGGATGCCATTACTTGAGCAAACTTATCAGCAACACAGGAAATCGATACCTCCAGGGTTGAAAACTACCATTCTCCCTTTGGACTGGCATCTAATGGCGTTGTCTGATATCTGTCTAAGATCATGACAAGAGCACCGAAGGATCACTAACATGAGATGGATGAAGTAGACAGGCGAATACCCCTCGGCTATATATCTCCATGCTATTTCCTGCCCGGAGCCCTTGAAATGTTTAGGGTTAAACCGTCTTGTTGGATTTTTCCCTGGTGGAATTTGACAACACCACCGAACGGACCTGAAATGCAAGAGGAACATCATATACAGCCAGACGAATCAAGTATCAGACACAAATAGAGTAGAATGATGTGTACTCGCGCCTATGGCATTAATGGGAACCAGTATTCTGGGTCTCTTTGTCTAAGTGTTAGACTTGCACTTTCATATGAGAACGCCAGAGGCACCATGACAAAGTAAAACGACCACAACAAGACGAGTAACACCTCTTACCAGGTTCTTTGCAAGTTGAGCAAATTACGATAGAGGAGCTGTTGTCCTAATAGCACCTTTGGCTCCTGATACAGTCCTTTCCAATGCAACGGATAAGGGCCTCAACTCCACGGACACGAAGAAGCAAAAATACATAGATCTGGACTGTTAGCAAAACAGCTAGCCAGCTTTTCTGTTGCAGGAATAATAGGCGAGCGGGCGTTTTAGCGGGGGAAAGCGCTCGTGTTACGATTTATGGCACGCAGACGTAGCCTACTTAGGCACTTGATGGATTCCGCTCGTTGAGGGTATTCAGAGGATTGGACAAGGGGACACCCTTGCTGGCTTCAACCACTATGGCAACAGAGAGGGAGCAGAAATTGAGCGAGGCCAGAATGGTTCGCGTCAACGGGGACTTGTTCCTTGGCCGTTTGTTAGCCATGTGGAACTCCGCGCTACGTGGTACTGAACCCGTTGATCACAGCAGTTAAGTATCATGCTAAGAGACACTTATGCGAAGCGAACGCGCCTTGGAAATTATTGCTCGAGATGAAAACATGACAATTTATTTAATCAATCAGCTTATTCCATATTTGCTTTGTGCCCCTTGGCACTGCGTCAAAAATGTCAGTACCACAGGACAATAGTGGCCCGATGCAACACAACCCCAGAGAGCCTCTGTTTCAGCACCAGGATGGAGATAAGTTAAGGGCTGTGGAGTTTACGGCTATCCCTCGTTGAGCTGAACCAGCCTCCTCGAGCCACGGGCTGGCCCCTGGTGCATGGATTCGCTACCATATCTGAACTCCGTTTACCGTTAGGTCATCGGGTGGTTGAGTTCAACGGTGGTCTTTGCTCTACCACTAAATAAATGACGACAAGGGAGGTGAGTTGCATTCCGGAATGGACGATGAGGGAGCTGATATCCGTGAAGGGATTGGGTTTGAGACTCAGACTGAGGATTAGGAGGCATGCCTAGCCGTAAATTGAAATGGCCCAATGACCCAAGGACAAGACGAGACGAAGCTCAGGCCCGTTACGGGAATGGTACATGTGCGGCCCGTAAGGTAGTCTAACCGTTATCTTTAACAGATACTGACAGATCACGGATACCATACCTGGAGGAGCAATATGATGTGATATGTATAACTGGAGAGCATATGCTAGGAAAAGGGGCATGAACATTGTCCGTAGACTATGCGTTCTGTACCTGTGCGCGTGGTAGGATGTACTCCAGGAACTGCCGAGTGTGCCTCCAAGCAACAGATGGTTCGTCGGTTACTGCAACACAGCATCAAGTGTCAATGAACGACGGCGTCTAGGTTCGCTGCAGGCTCAGGGAGCATGCTCTCAATTGCAGATCCAACAAACGAACGTCCCCTTGTCCCTTGTCCCTTGCCCCTTGTCAGAAAAGACCAGGCTTGTTGATGTGCTTGCTGCTGCAAGCCAGAAAGATGGTTCCGGTCTCGTTTGTGCGAGAGCTGCATCCACTGATTCCACTCTACTTACCAGGGTTCGCACATTCGAGCGAGTCAATGAAGCACGCAAACGATGATATCGTCGTGTGCTGATATGGATGTTTCAGCAATTGGTGACCATGGCCGCATTTGAAGATGTGATTGAGGCCTTTCCTTCTTAATAGCCCATCATATAAACAAAGTTTCTACCACTCATCGGCAGCGTTTTATATCCATGACAAGGTGGCCAAGAGTTTAACCGTGTGCCTTCATCCTTTAAATCTCTGCTGTTGAGTAGGTCCCCTGTTTAGTTTGGTTGCCATCCATCCATTGCTTGCTGTTGGATCGAAAAAGGGACCGTCCCGTCCATCCTGGATCTTAAAGCCCTTGTCGACGTCTTGCTCCTCTCGTCCCCTCTCGTCTCGGCTTCTGGCGAGGTCAAACTATTATTCAAACCTTTAGAAACTCCTCCTCTTCTTTGTCTCGCCTTTGCCTTGCTCTACCTACCCTTTCTCCTGGTCTCATTCTCATTTTCAGTCTTTTCCTCAATTCCCTTGCTCTTGGACGGACACGTCGTCTGGGTTCCCATCGTCTTCCTCTTTATTGGGCAGCTTGGGCATACTCGTCCCCTCACCTACACCGACTTCATCATCTTTCTTTCCTTGTGTCTGCCAACATCACTCTCTTACTTAATTCCCGCGGTTTCAACTCACATCATAATATCGTATTAGCAACCTAAACCCTCGGCTCCTCTCTTTGTTTCAATCTCTGCAACTTCACTTCCCCAGGTTTCCTCGACGACGTTTCTTTGATCCTTTTCGCCCGTTTCGGAGGAACCCGTTTCGCGCTCCAAGGACGCTGCTCTGACGACCAACCACCAAAATCAAGGCCTCTCGAGTCATAGGAATTCGAGTGTCTCAGCCCATTGTTCTTTTCTAGGAGACGACCCAAAACTGAGACGACCACTGCCGCATGCAATTATTGTAATAACTAATACGTGACGACTTGGTCATTTTCTCAGTTTAAAAGGCTTCTCACCTCCTCAGGATATCCTGTGCGAAACCAAGTCTCAACGAAATTCCCCCGCGACGAACCTGCGAGACTCTTCGCAGTCCATTGACGTCGTATCTGTCTGCAAGCACTTGCTGGGATGCTCTAATGCTCCGGCGGCCGAGACCATGACTGTAAAAGGCGGTTTCACCAGTGCGGGCCAGCCAGGCCCTGACAGTCAGCATCAGCATCAGGTGCCTGCGTCTGGGCATATGCCTTCCCCTATGGCCACAGCTGATCTTCAATCTGACGCTTCCTCATCTACTGTCATTGCCCACGCAGACTCGCACCGGCAGAGCCACAGCTCTTCCAAGTTGCCCGCTTTCCGCTTCACTGACCGGCGAAGCAGCAGCTGTGGAAGCGTGCCCCTAGCTAATAAGGGTGACCCCCTGTCCCTTAGCAGCAGCAACCAATACAACCATAACAGAAACCAAAATCTCGATTCGAGAAACAATAACAAGGACGACCGCACCAGCGATTACCTTAACCACAAACCAACTACATCGGCATCGGCGACGGCATCAGCCTCAACACCAACCTCACCACTCGCCAATACTTTGGATAGCGCATCAGCGGCGCTTTCTCTGCAGTCTTCAATTGTGTCGTCGATTGTCTCACCCAATTCAGAACCCAGCACTCTTACTCCGACTGTCTCAGTCACCCCGACCACAGTATCACCTGTATCAGCAGACCCAGGCCTAGTGTCCCCCCCGAGCGCTGCTGTTAGTGGACCATTGACAGCACCCGACCCTGGCCCAGCACCAGCAACTCTCGCAACGACCCATTCTCACACTTCTCACCCGACAACGCATCACCGCGACGAAAAACACGCTGTCTCTGCATTAACACCTGCGCCTGCATCTGCATCTGCGCCCACAGACCCCTCAACGAACACAGCATCCTCATCCTCGCAGCCCAACGAACCCAAGTCATCCAACGAATCCGACACAACGCTGCTCTCACAAAACAATTCTGGGACGTCCTCGGTTCATCCATCGTCATCGGTGATCCAACTCTCGCCTGGGGTTAAGCGTCCCGCATCTTTTGACGCACATGCACCTGACGCGATCTCCCCGCATCCTGCTCCTTCAACCTCCAAGTCTCGGACTCGGCGACCGCTGGTGTCGCGAAGATCGACTGCTGGCACCTCTTCCACTGGCCCGCCACCTTCTTTGAACTCTGAGCGCCTGCAAGCCATCGAAGCCGCCCAGGAAGGTCAATCCACTTGGCCCTCCTCAAGTGACAATTCACCCCAGCAATCGCCATCTGGCCAACGCGAATTAATTTTGCCCAAGACGCTGTCCAGAACCAACTCCGATGAGAGGCGAGCATCTGCCTCCCATCGCCCTCCCGTTTCATACCGACCGCCTCTCACCTCCAATAGTAGCACTGAATCATCGCCGTCAACCGCTGTTCGTGTTCCCCCAATTCGATCTTTCCGATCTTCAGGCTCCCGCAAGAGCCTCACTCTCGATATGAATTCGAGGCCGCGCTTCCACGACTCTGGCGACGAAGTCGAAGACACTAACCATGACCGTACCTTGCGCGCCTTGGAGGGTAGGGGTAATGATGATGCACTTCGGTCAGCTCCTTTAACCTCAAGTCGCCGTGGCGCCTTCGATAATGAAGATACTGGCGACGTTTTCCTTAAGATTGCCAGGGAGGAAGCTTCCCAGCGTCAAACAGACGAGCACCCCCAAGAAGATACCCGCAGCGTAGTGGTAAGTTCCCTCCTTCTATCGCCTCTTACTGTTTCCCTCGCCTTTTTTTATGATGCCGGCTATGTGCTGTGCATGGCGCATGGTCACTCGGGCTGCGCGAAACTTTTTCAGGATCCACCACGCACTCAATTGCTTGTTTCTGGAAATATATCTCGACTTTGATCTGTCCCAGCTCTGAAGCTAACGTGCATAGTCCCGAGTGACGCGATTTACGCATCGAAGACCGTTATCCTCCGTAGTCCCTATACATCAGCCTACTTCGCCTCCTAGGGTTCGGCGCCGGCTTTCTGATCAACAAGACACTGCGCGGTCACGATCAAGAGGCTACGAAGACGACCGGGCAACTGAACTTTCTCGCATGTCAACTTATCGCACACTGCCACGAGAAAAAGCAGCATCTGCGCATCCTGGAGAAGATACAGGACGTATGCGAGGCTCGACCTCAACCATGCGCCCGTCCCCCGTTACACCTCGATCGATAGTTTTTCAGGAACCTAATTCCGAAAACTCCATGTATTCTCGTCGAAGATCCTCTGTCACGGACAACAATGTAAGTGGACAAAACCGAGGCTCTGCGTACAAATTCATGGGTCATGGTCACAACAAGACGTATAATTCCTCCCCTCTGGTCCGGTCATTTGATTTCCAGCGTCAAGCAAATCAGGAGGCTGGCAACGGGGCTGAGGGAACGGAATCGACTTTGTCGAATACAGCCCCCTCCACGGTATGGGACGAACTAGACGACCTCAAATCAAGAATACATCGACTAGAACTGACTGGTAAGCTGCCTTCGACTTCCGGCGCCGCAGTATCGAGATTATCAGACGACCGACCGCCGACGGCGACTACTACAGCCACGACTATGTCTTCTTCCCCCAAGCGAGTTGAGAATGGTCATCAGAACACGAATGCCGACGCCGTTAGCACCACGTCCTCCCACCACCGAGAGTCGCATTCCATCCTTCAATCCGCCCTTGCTAAGTCCAAGGTTCTACTCGACACGGAAGTTTACCAGGCCCTAGAGTCTGCTGCTAACGATGCCATGGCCCTCGCTTCCATGATGGGAACACCCGGCCTACCTGGACCCATTTCGAGCGGCGCCAGCACGATAGGCTCTAACGCAACTGTTACTGATCGCCAACTGAGACGAAAGGCCGAGAGTGTGTGTCGCAGCTTAACAGAGCTTTGCCTCGCATTGGGTGAGGACGCTACCCAGACACGTATACCGCGACAGTCAATTGAAATCCCACCACCTGCTCAGAATGACGCGCCAACTACACCGACGATTGGTAAAACCTTTAGTGGCTTTTCTCAACGTCGACAGAGCATTGGGAGAAACGATCAGACTGCCGCCAAGGAACATCTCACCAGCCCCAGAACTCTGTCCAAATTTGAGGAGAGAAGACTCAACATTCTTAATGGTAGTTCTCTACCTACATCACGTGTGTCTAACTCAATACCATCGACACCGATCGAGCCGATCTCGAATCGGCGTTCTTCTCTCTTGGTTTCTCGATCTCGCCGTGCTGGTACCGAAGAACCTGATGAAGGCAGGAAGTCATCGCTTCTACTAAGAACCAGAAGAGCTGGTACTGAGGAGCCTGATGAAGGCCGTAGAACATCTTTATTCGTCCGCAACCGTAGAAACACGGTCGGCGAAGAAGGCGAGGAAGAATCAAGGTTCCGAGCGCCTTCTCGAGCACCTACTGAGCTTGGCAGCACGATTCGAGTTGTGACACAGGATCAAACGCCACAGCAGCAGCAATACTCACCGTCAGCTGATACCACATCTGCCATCCCGCGTCGGCGCTTTGTTTCGTCGAATCTCGGTGCCTCTAGGCTGGCGACGCCATCAGTTAACACAGCAACACCGCCTCGAAGATACATGGAGAGACCGGCACAGCAAGACCACGGTAATAGCGCTGTCGAGAAGCTTGCTGAAGAGCGTGCACAACGCTACACCTCTCTTGGGCAAACAACCATGGTCAATCGGACCAGCAGTATGATCAGAAGACCGAAACGGGACAGCATTGCGTCCGCCAATCCTTCTGCAGCTGCAGGCAGCTACAGATGATGCCAATGACCAATGACCTTGATTGATTTAACGACTGTACAACTACCTATACATTATGTTTCGAGCGCCGGACGTTGCTATTTATATACTTTTATGTTTGCACAGGAAACAGCTTATTTTTCCTGTTCCCTCTATTGATTCTCATCCGGCTCGGCCGAACGAGTCATGGCGATGGTTGGGGACGACAAATTACATTATAGTTCTTGTTTGACGTACATACACTGTCTATAGACAAGCTTATTTTGCTTGAGAGGACAGCATCTTTGCAGGGAGGATAGTATTATGGTGTTTGGGAGGAGGTTTGCTTTCTGAAAACGGCGCACGAGGAGCGACCATGCAAGAAACAAGACAGAGCCTGGGCTTTATATCTGTTTTGTATCGGGTTGGCAGTCAAGAAGACATCAGGATAAGCATGTGGATACCGATTTATTTTAATGTATGATGTGGCTTGGTCGCGTATGACGGCTCTTTGTTACCCTCTCTTTGACTTTGACCTTGGTGATGTCGTTGTAAGAGGCTTGTGAGTTTAAACAAACGGATGCATGCCATTTATTTGGTGGCAGTACCAAAGTTTAAGCAATAGTGCTAGAGTGCCTGATGGATCTGAGTCTGTTAAAAGACTCAATGTGAATGTTATTTCTCGCTGCAATTGGTCTGTTTGCCTACATGACACGGATGAAGTTGATGCAGACTTAGTACCTTAACGTAGAGGCTGAGTCAGGCCGAAACGGGAGATGCAGGTGAGGCAGTCTATAAGGTCAGCCCCACTGGATTCTCGCAAGAATTCACATCTTTGAGCGAGTGAATGGGATTTCGACTCATGTCTTCTATCGCAACACCTAGAATATTAAAAAGAAGCATTTCCCCTCTCATCTTTTCGACTTCCAACAAACCACGTTTTCTAGTTCAGAACTGTTTCACTGCACATCAACCACTTCGTCACACCTTTTTTGCACAACGCAAACACGGCATCATGGCTGACGAGGCTCATTTCAATGTTGAGGACAAGATGCAGAATAGACCCCCAAGATCAAGAGGTGATAGGGGACGAGGGAAAGGCGGTGGTGGCGGTGGCCATGGAAGAGAGGTGCAGGTGTCGAAGGCCTTGTCCAAGCTCTTGAGACATCAAGCAGCTAATGCTGGCATTCAACTCGACGATGAAGGCTATGCGCCTTTGGATGTTGTGGTACGGGGGAATCAAACACACCTTAAATATTCCTCCTGCGGACAAGACTTGCTAACTCTCTCATGCAGCTCGCCTGGGGCCCTTTACGATCTTTAAAGGTCACGTTTGACGACATCCAGTCCATTGTCACTTCCAACGACAAGCAACGGTTTACACTCAAGCCCAACCCCGTCAAGAACCCTTCCCTAGATACCAAATCCACCACACCAGCCGATTATCTCATCCGTGCCAACCAAGGTCACTCCATCAAGCTTGAGTCAGCAGCTCTTCTGGCGCCCATCACACTCGAGGGCGGTAACGTCCCTGAGCGTGTCCTTCACGGATCCTTCTTTTACTTTTGGCCACGCATCGTCGAGTCCGGCGGCCTCAAGCCCATGAGTCGTAACCATGTCCACTGCTCAACTGGAACGCCCGAGGAGGGCGTCGTTAGCGGGATGCGTAAGGATGCAGAGCTGATTATCGAGATCGACGTTGAAGCAAGCTTGAAGGATGGCGTGAAGTGGTGGCTGAGTGACAATGGAGTGTTGCTGACGGAAGGCGACGAGCAGGGGGTTTTGAGCACCAAGTACTTCAAGTTGGTGACGGGGCGCAAGGTTGATGTTGGGGTACTGTGGCAAGACGGTCAGTGGATTACTGATCTACCAGCTGGCTTGAAGATAAGTCCTCCGCCTGGAAAGGGTCCTCGACAGGGTGGAGGAAGAGGAGGAAGGGGTGGTAGACGCTGAGGCCCGTAGATATCAGAAATTATCCCAAAAGCGTCTGGTTTATAGAGACAATATGATAACGCGGCATCCTAGGACTATCTTGATGCACGCCACCGTCACTGAAGAAAGAATTAATTCAATGATTCAACGACATCCACTTAGTTGACTCTCCAGTCTAGATCAACTCGATTCGCTCTATCGCCTAGCTAGGAGCAAAAGAACCCCCAAGACATCGGCACTAAATAATAGAATTAGACCAGCCTTGGTGCAACAAGCCTAATAAACTTGGATTGTTGAATTTATATCCATTGCGGGTTTCAAGTCTCTTTGAACCCCGAGCCTAAGTGGCAAGACCGTGAAAGTGAGTCATAAAGCACAGCTCAGGAGGTCGAGTTCATGAGGCTTGAATATTGGTCGCCTCTGTTCTTCTCTTCCTTCTCCAACCACTCAAGCACCTTCTCCGCGACCAAGATCTCAGCTTGCTGTCTTCCCACGACCCCTTCTACAACACCCATGTTCTCCGGAATCCGCCCATCATGCCTGAAAATAGGACGCCCTTTCCAAGTATCTTCTTTCTCGTTGTCTAGTTCGATATAGTACTCAGGGATACCGAAGCCCATGCGCTCGCCGAGACCAGCAACACGCTCACGAACGGTAGGGCCCTGGGTGGTGGCAGAAGCCAAAGGAGTACTAGTTGGGACGCTGTGATCGCCTGAACGAAGAGGCGTAGCCATGGAGACACCGCCATCAGAGCTATCTTCCTCTGTCTTGATCCTAGCATGCGCAGGAGACTCTTGCGATCCTGAAGGGGCTCTCTTGCTGCCTCGAGGTGCTGGCTCTTCCTTGCGGAGGTACTTGAGTGCATGCATGGCAGCAAAGTTTTTAGCTTTTTGAACCTTTTTGAAAGTTGGAACCTGTTGACCAGTCTCGCAGCCACGGCCTTCCTGGGGGAACTTGGTGTTTTCAGAAGGAAGATTGCAGAAGACACGAGATCGAGGGAAAGGCATCCCGTAGACTTGTTGGTTGAAGGTCTCTTGAGTGAACTGAGGAGTTGGGATTTTGTTCTGCTGACAGTACTCTGACAAACGATCATGGTTAGGAGCTTGCTAGGAAAGATCGCGTTTGGCGGGGAAACTCACGATTCAAGTCGCTAACCCAGAAATCTTCCACTTCAATCTCATGAACAAGCTCGATGAGTTGCGAGATGGCGGCGATCTGCTGCTTGTTAAGCTGCGCAGGATGGCCCGTCTTTGCTTCTTCGGTCTTTTTCTCCTCAGCGAATTTTATGAGTTCATCCCAAGGGATACCACCACTGACAGTTGAAGAGCCGTGAAACGTCATTGTGCTTTGGGTGTGTTTTTGGTTGGTGTAGTGTTTGGGTGTTGATGGTGTAGTTAGGCGAAGTGTGATGAAATGTCGAACGACGAGATGAGATGATGGGGGGAAGTGAGGAGCTCGATTGATTATATGAAGCAAAGGAAGAAAGGTGGAGAGCTGGCTCTGCAATTTATAGCTGTGATTCATGAGTTGGCGAAGCCTTGCGGTAGTGAAGAATGGATGCCTCTTAGAATATCGCAAAAGCGAAGTACAGTAGGCTTCCAAGAAGGCAACCAGGCCTCATTGGCAGAACAGCTTGGATTCGCCGGCTTTAACTGCTATTTCCGAATTGACCGGATTGCTGTGCATGTCAAATGCGTAGTCAATCCGCATCATTTCAAGAGGGATACGCTTACAATGTGATGATGGAGTTGGTGGTGAACGTGGTGATGGTGGCTGTGAGGGGTCTATTTTCCTGGCCAACTATAGTGGAGGTGGGCCGATTGAAACACATAGAGGACCTGACCTGAGACAGAACCAGGCTCTGAAAACCCGAACTTAACAACGCTTGATTGATTGTGTTGGTTATGCTCTAGATAGGTCCAACAATGGTCGACCCATCAGTGTCGCAGGGTATCTACCAACACCTGATGCAATATGGAAAAACTCTCTCTAACCTACACCCTTCTATCCTCCTGCCTACGGCGTACTTAATCCTCTTCAAAGAAACCACCCTCGTCGCTATCATCGTCGTCACTCTTGACGACTGGCTGTGCAGCCTGACGCTCTTGTAATCTGCGTTCTCTGCGGTTCTTCGGAGCAGCAACAGCTTTCCCCTTGACCTTGGCGAAAGGTGCAGGCTTTTCCTTCGTGGCCTGTGGTTTTGGCTGCGCCTTGAGAGCCCCATTTGTGGTCGTTGCCTTGGGCTTTTTCTGGCGGTGCTCTGACTGTGCTTCCTGTGTAAGCTCAGTTGGCCGTCTCTCTCTTAAATTTCGCAGCGCGTGGGGGCCACCCTTCATCGCCTGTTCAATATCCGACCAGATTGGCGGTCGCTCTGTATGCAGTAGACCCCTATGCTTGAGTGGTGTGTAGTCAAGCTTGTCGTCGTCTTTATCTTCCTCTTCCTTCTCTGGCTTGGCGCTGGTGTACAGGCTGATGTAGGGTTCGGCATGGGGAAAGTGTTGTGTGTACGCCTCGTCTACTTCGGCGACGTGCAAGTCACGCTTCAATGCCTCGATCTCGTCCGTTTCTGTAGATTCGGTCTCTTCAATCTTTTTGCGCAACTGTTTTGCTAATCGCGATGCCTTCTTTCGTTCTGAGTCGCGCCATGTTAGCATTCTTTCCGAGCGGAGAATGACGCCCAGAGAAGATCTTACCAAAGAAGCGAACCATGTGATATTTTGATATCATAGCACTTCGTAGCTTCTGGAAGCTCTTGTCTGAGACTGTCGCCTTGAGAGCGCCCAGCTCTCGTTCGAGATCATTGCGCACGTTGGCGGGAAGTTCTTGGTTTCGGTTCAGGAGTCGCTCGATAGTGCGCGTTCGCTTCTTGGCCCATGTTGAAGTTCCCTCGTTCGGTCGATGCTTTGACTTGCTCGACTTGTGCTTCTTTGCACCATTGAATGATGGACGATTGCGAGGCTCAGGAGACCCAATCTCTGAATATTCTCTCTTTTGCCCCATGGTGACGATATATGGCTCGTGCGAGGACTATGAAAGGAAAAAGAAGTGGGATTGCGAAGAGAATGTTCAAAAGAGATTCCAGGTAAAGGTTGAATAATCCTAAATAGTTCCATACAAGATGGTTAACTTTTTTTTCCCTATACCAGCGGGGACTTGCGGCGGTATCTTATCAGGCACGTCTCAATTCGGGGTAGCGTCGGACGCTCGGGCTTGTGGGGAAGGTGCTCTGTGTTCCTGAGAGGCAGGGAGGTTCATCATCTAAGCTCGACACCATCGAATCCAATACCAATCACTATCTTCTTAATATATCGAGAGCCTTTTCTTTTGATGTCTATAGCGTCGAAAGTTGGAAAAATGTTCTAATATCGAGAAAGTTCTCTGTAAATTTTATTATCAAGCCATTCTCAAGACTCTGGCACGGAACTTTGCCGTTCGACTCATCGCCAGAAATCATCTCCAAGCTACAGTCGCCGCCAACCTCTTTTCTTGAAGATTCATTCAAGACAAACTCAACTACCAGGAGATTTAACCACAAACTGATGCTTGTATAAAAAGCCCGCCACTGGGCTAATTCTCCTTCATCATGGATCGCCCTGAACCTGGGCTCGTTAAATGGTCGTCCAACCCTTCATATGATAACTTCATTCATATCAACCTTCAGCACCGCGTTGTTCAGGTCTACGAACCAACTGGTCACGCGAGAGCTGGAAAATTCGACTATCAGAAACTCACCCGTCACGATGACTTTCCTCCCCTCACAACCTACGATTGGTCGCCAACCAATCCCGGTCTTCTTGCCGTTGGTACCGGTAGTGGCATTGTGAATTTGCTCAGGATTGACGATGGATCTAATGCGTACGTGGAGCTGGGCCTCAAGATGTCTCGTACTTGTCAAGCCGTCGCGTTCAACACAACCGGATTGTTAGCAGTTGGCCTGGACAGAGTGCGAATGGATCAATGTCTTCACATCTGGGATGTCAGTCGATTGTCTTCAATAGACAAGAACACAAAAGGCTTTCCTTCGGATGCAACTAATATTGCTGAACCGAAAACCCGTCTTGAGCCTAGTGTCTCTGTGTCAAGCATCAAATTCTTCGAAGACAGCCCCCAAACTCTTGTTGTTGGCATTAAGGCTCAGGGTCTTCGAATACATGACCTTCGAGGTAGGTTTCGGAGATGAAAAGAGATTCTTGCGCAAGCTGACATATATTACTTCTTATCAGACCCTTCAAGCATTGTTACATTTCAGACAAAGTGCAACAACAATCTTACGATCGACTATGCTGATCAGAATTATTTTGCTTCGTCTGCCCTGGACCATCCTGGAGTAATGATCTGGGACCGTCGAGCGACATCTCGACCTGTGGCTTCTCATGCATACATGCAAGCAATTGAGGAGGATGAACTCCCGTGGGGTGGAGCATTGCGTCTTGACCGAGTCATCGAGACTGATTCTGACCCTTTCTTGGCTGAGGGAAAGTATTCCCTTGTTCGATCACTTCGATATTGTCGTGATCATCGTGGCTTGCTTGCTGTGCTATCTCGTACGGGACAACTCAAGGTCTTGAACACCAATAAAGAGGCCCCATCCTCTGGGTCTAGCAACCCGGAACTTCTCCAAGTTCAAAAGTCTTATGAGATGGACGTCTCATATGTCGAAACATCAAGGAAGAATGATCGAATTGTTGCTTTTGACTGGGTAACATTGAGCTCACCCGTCCTTCGTCCACGGCTCCTTGTTCTACGAGCCAATGGGAACTTTGAAATCCTCGAACAACCATCGCAAACATCAGATCATGTTTACAAACTTGTACCATGGAAAGCACCGCATCGCGGTCTCGAAGGTAATTCAAGCTGATCCCCGATGGTTTGGACATGTCTAACCCCGTGCAGAGGGCGCCCCATACCACAGCATGATGCAATTTGAACCATCCCAAGCTCCTGATATGTTAGGGCCTCTTCTTATCGAAGAAGCTTTGTCAGAAGTGCCATTATTCGGACCAGAGAGTGCAAATGTTCGGGCAGATACGGAGGCCTTACTAAAGGCAAATAACATGACTTCAGTGGTTATAGAGGACATTGGGGCAACCACGAGGCCACTGCCTGAGGCCTTTCACAAAGCTTCTACCGTCGCAGCTAAGATAAGAGCCTTGCGCGCCTTCGTAAGAGATGAGTTTCAAGCTCCAAAGGGTATAAAGCCACGTGTTGGTGATACAAAGATCGTCGAAAGCGAGACCAGTGAGATGTCCCTAGCTTCCGATAGCTTGGGCTCATGCCGGGAAATCCATGATGCATTGTTGGCTTCACTAGCTGAGGCTGAAGGTCTCCCCCGAGAAGCACAGAACGTACTTGATCACAATATGTTGTTACGTGCTAAAGAGAAATACCTATTCGACGCAGTAGCAAACAGAGACATTGTGGCAGACGATCCGTGGGTAAAATATATATGGGACTGGGTGGCGAGTAAGTATCTGGATATTACTCTCTCACGGCATTCTAACATCCTTAAGCTGCTGAAGATAATGCTGATGACGGAGGCATGATACTCTCAAACATTGACCTCAGCTACGTTGGAGTTCACTCAATATGGACAAATAATCTTGGTGAATAACTAGAAGCGGAAACGGTCCGGACCCCAGCTGACCTTGTCATAGGCCGTGATCCTTCTACTCGACTACCTCCTGGCGCAACACCTCCTGATCGCACAACATGGGAACGTACCATCGCAAGCTTCTGCAAAAAGAATCATCTTCCCAAGTTCAACGGAGCAGATACCAAGTGGCCAGCGCATCGTCAGCTATGCCTCGAAATATGCGGTTGGGGTGATTCTGAAAAGCATGATCCAAAAGGCCGCAATCGAAAGGCAGATCCTGAGTACCCCACCACCATTCATACCATGGCCGCTGCTCGTGCTTTATTTACAGGGGATCATAAGGAAGCCATACAGATCCTTAAGAAAGCCAGCACTGCGCACCCTGAACTCTTGTTTGTATCTTTGGCCCTACAGCTTATGGGTAGCGGCGACAGCACGCCTGCCAAGAACAAGGAACAGCTTGATTTTGATGAAGCTGTTGCTTCCAAAACCGACCCTTACCTCCGAGCCATATCATCACTGATTGCTACAGGTGACTGGACGGCTATAGCCAGCCAGCTATCTCTTCCCCTTTCTGACCGAGTTTACGTTGCAATCCGCAACTTTGACGATGACCAGCTCACACAGTGGCTCAACGAGCAAATCATTTTGGCGATAGCAGACGGAGATATAGAAGGCATCGTCCTCACAGGTATCACAGAACCCATGGTTGATATTTTTGCCCGCTATATCCAAAAGTTTCATGACGTTCAGACAGCGACCCTCGTGCTGTCCATTTGTGCACCAAGATACATAGACGACATTCGCTGTCGAGCCTGGCGCAACACTTACCGGGCCCATCTTCAGCGTCATAAACTCTTCTTCCAGCGCACAAAGTTTGATGTCGAGTCAACGAAGCGATCGAAACGGGACGGCATCCCCAAATTGAAACCACCTTCCCGCCAAATTGCCCTCCGCTGTGTTTTCTGCGACGCTGAGACATCACTCGCGAACAATGCCAACCAGCCGCCGCATCTTGGAGGTGCCTCTACTGCGCAAGCAGCATCGGCTCTCGAGTCTCGAAATCCACTTCTCGCAACGAGCATCAATGCGGGTGTGAGTTGTCCCAACTGCGGTCGACACCTCCCGCGTTGTGTAGTCTGTCTCGAGATTGTGGGCGTCCCTCGTTCCGACAAGCCAGAAGAAAAGAGCGAGTCTAAGATGGCTGGTCAATTTCCTACGTTTTGTCTCCGCTGCGAACACGTTTTGCATCTGGACCACGCCCGCCAGTGGTTTGCCAGACACGTTGAGTGCCCTGTACCTGAATGCCGATGTCGATGTAACTTTAGGGCGAACCCTGAATTGAGTTATCGTTAGGATGTTCATGATCTAGACATTTAGAGTCAAAGGAGGTTTGCCCGTCGACCGGGCCAACCGAACTGGGAATTATCACCAAACATCTCATATACTGGATAAGATCTGCCATATATATACAGTTGAATATGACGAGTATGTCTAACTTGGATTGCTTATGGAGTTGAGGACAAAATATATCCTTTATCTTTCGCTTCTATCCGCAGGTTTCGCAAAATCAACAGCCAAAAAACAACTCCGTGTCCCATTTACCCCCACGGTCCTCGAGAATCCGGCCATTGTATCCTTCACGCCGGAGGTTCCAAAAAAGTGTTCGCCTGTCCTTCCCAGCATTGCACCTAGTATCCAAGTAGGTATCGTATGTTTCTTCTATCTTCGTTCGGTCGCTCCGTGTCAATCATCTCTAACGCATATAAAACAAAGGGGAAATGAGAAGGCTCCGACTTTCCCAAAGGGGTATTGTAACCAAATGAGTCACCAAGTGACGGGTGAAACGTTTCCTTTCCGTTGACAAGGCTTGATAACGATGTGTTGTTCGAATGGGGCCCGAATGATATTAGGTTTCATTCTTCAACGGCAGCCTGGCACCAAGGATGCTCCAGCACCTGGTTAATATCGTAGCGTTTAGCGACATCTCGATCCAGCATGCATCGAATGAGGTCGATACTCTCCTCGCTCAGAATATAGGGTATTCGCAGGTCACGATCCATGATCTCATCAATACTGTAGAATGGATTCTCCTTGTAGATAATGGTGTAGAGGAGAATACCCAGTGCCCAAACGTCTTGCTCTGTGCCCCGATAAGGCTTGCCAGCGAGAACTTCAGGAGCGGCGTAATCTGGTAGCAAGTCAGCAAATTATGACATGTTTCTAGGCGGGCTGCAAGTTACTGACCGATTGTTCCTACGAAGACATCGAAAGGACCGCTCTTGATGTATGCAGCACTCCCAAAGTCGATAAGTTTGATATTGCCTTCTCCATCAAGGATTACATTTTCATCCTTGATGTCGCGATGCACCACGCGAGCCTTAGTGTGGAGGTGGTGAATCGCATTGGCTACTTGTACGAAAATGCTGCGGCATTCAGACTCGTCCATGTTGGTTCGGAGTTCGATGTAGTCAAAGAGATCCATGCCTGGCAGACCATGAGGGATCATCTCGATATAGTAGTTCACATCATCCTCAAAGAATCCTTGCATCTCGACGATGTTGGGATGAAGTAGCTCAGGTTTGCGAAGGTACTCCAAGACATGGACTTCCAAGGGTACAGTGCCCAGCTTTCGGTCTCTAGTCCATGTATCGACAAGAATGCGTCGCTTGGTAACGTACTTGAGCACAATCTTCTTGCCAGTTTGTTTGTGCCGGGCTAGCTTCACTTGGCCATACGCACCCTGACCCATTTCCTCCAATATCACATAGTCGTTGATCGTTTTCTTATGGGGGGGTTCAACGACCTTGGGAACTGGGGTGGCCTCTTCAGGCTTGGGCTTTGGTTGCTGCCCCGTGATCTTAGCAGCAGCATTCATGGCAGCATCCTTTAAATGCTTGGACAGCGAACTTGCAGCAATCAGCACATTCTTTCGAGGTCCCTCGTCATCTGAAGCAATCTCAAGAGGCGTATGTGCAGGGGTCTGGCCAGGTGATGGCTGGTGGAGGGGGGTTAAAGCTCCAGCCCGGGTAGGGGTTTCGAGTCCGAGATGAGGCTGAGTGCCGTGGAGATGGCGAGAGTAAGTAATCCACAAAGCATACACTATTTCTGAATGGGTCACTTCGAAGGCTTCGTCTCCGGTGGCGTTATCCTCATCGCTGCCTTCGAAAACAGTCTCGTTCATCACAACGGTCTTCTTTTCACTCTTGACTACACGCATCTGGACGTCAACCTTCAGATCGGATCCGTCACGATGTTTGGCGCTTAATCCAGCGGGATGGAGGAAAGCAGATGCAGCGTCAGGTCTGTGCTCTTTCAAGGCCAGGAAAGCAGAAGCTTTTCTGAAACGATGTTCAGGAACAACCATACCGTCGAGGAGTTGTATACCATCCTCTTCTATCAGTGACCCCAGGATGTTGTCGAATTCTGGGATTAGTGCATTTATCGACATGCCATCAGCCTTTTCGAATCCGAAAAGTGCACCGCAAAAGGCTGCGTTTGAGCTTCGAATCTTAAGGGTTTCTGGCTCTACCACGACAATTCCAGCCATGTGAGGGAACGTCGAGACACGAAGCTCTAGCTTGCCACGGGTTTGCTCGACTGTGCAAGGCACGTTGACTTGGGGTGAATGAGGACAGGTGAAGTATCTCCGCCTTGAAACCTGAGCAAAGTCGATTTCTCCTGTGTTGGGGTCAATCCCTTGACGGGGAATCCGTGGAATGAGTCTCGCTATATCAAATCCAGTAGGGATTGACTCGAACCCCCAGATGGGAGCAGTAGATCCAGTGACTTGTTGAACGATGCCGTCTTCGTCCAAGGTAATGTAGGCGACGTCCTCATGAATTTCTTCCAAAACCCAGATCAAGCCGACCTTCTTCTCTTTGACCCATAGACTAGCAGAACCGGTCGCACCGTTGCGTTTCTGAATGGGGACCACGTCACCGCATAGCAGCACTCCTCTCGAGGAATTTGTCTGATTATGCCCGCCGCCCCGGGTTTTGGGGGGGCTTGGGTCGCCGCTGTGAACCGTCTGCGCACGCCTTTGTGTGTAGCTGCGTGGCTGAGTTCTCGAATTTGGCTTGCTTAGGAGCTGGGCTGTTATTCCAGATCTCCCGTTAAGCAGTGCCGAAGCTGCTGAAGCGGCAGGTGTTGTTTGGCCCGAGGGCGTTTGGCTTTCATTAAGCTCATCGTCTGCTTGTTTCAAGAGTTTTCGTTCCAACCATGACCTTCTCTCCTCCTGTACAACTTCCAAGATACCCATCTTGCGCACCTCAGCTTTTGTAACGCCAAACACCAGACAGGCGAGATCGTTTGCTGCAATAATGGTCCATGGAGGTTTGACTTCTGTTGTAAAGATCGCCTGAGCAGCGGGTACCCAGCGATTTGTGTGTCCATGTACAGAAGGGCCTAACTGAGTAGGGAAACTGGTCGCTGTGGCGCTGGGGAGTTGAGCCAAGGATGGAGAGTTTAATGGTTCTTGATATATGGGCTGACCAGTTAAGAAAGGCTGCGAAACTGTATCTATAAGCTTATCTTGAGCTGACACGGCCGTTATGTCTGTCATTGTTCGCTTCAGGCTCAGTGTCGGACGGACTGGTACAGGTTTCGCGCCCGAAGTGCCACCTCCACTAGCAGAAGCTGTAGTTGATTGATCCTGAACATGGGTAGTCTCATGGGCTGCTGGCTCGAGTGGAATGGATCTTCTTGTTGTCTCAACCCTGGACCGTCGAGGTGGTGGCGATGTCTGGCGAGGACTGATGAGGTCTGTGCTGGATGCTCGAGGGTCAAAATTCTTGTCAAAGACATTTTCCTGAACCTCAGCGGGACCGGTCAGAGGAGCTGGGGCGTAAGAGTTGTCGGGGTTTGGTAAGTTTGGAGCTCTAATTAGCTGTGCCTGCGCGAGTAGGTCAAGCATGTTCTGTGTCTCAACATCGCCGCTTACTCTTGCCTGGGCACTTGCAAGAGCAGCCTGCGACGAGTTCATAGGAAGACCCATATGGTCCTTCATGAACTCGACGGACCGTTTGAGGGCATTTTGTCGGTTGTGCAAAAAGTCCTCGGACTGATTGGCGAACGAGAAGGAATGCAAAGACTCGGAGGGGAAGCGAGAAAGGTCGTCGGAGAAGCTGGGATTTGATGGACCACCAGTGAGCGACAAGTTGCCGGTGCTGGCGGCCATCGCACTCATCGAAGTGGAACGAGACAGGGCGGCAACGGACGGGCTTCGCGAAGATGCTCGGGATCCTGGTAAAGTAGGGTTCCTGGATGGTGGGCGTGTTTGTCTAATTCGTCGGAGGCCGGACAGGCCTAAGCCATGCTCGTGATCGGTCATGATGGGAGACCTGGAGTTGATATGGTGGTCAGCAAGGAAGCAGGCCGAGGGTGGGCGCCACAGCTGGGCTCCGTGACGCATGATTTCACTCGACATACCTGGCGATAGCTTCAAGGTCAGCGGCTGCCGCCGCGGCCGCGGACGCATCCAGAGACATGCGTGCTCTGCTTCGATCTTGCGTTGATGAGTTTCTTGCGGCAGCCAAATTTCCCGTACTACGATTCTTTGGCAACGAGAGGGGCATTGGCAGCTTCTCTCGTCCACGTTCTTCATCCCTAGTGTGATTTTCGGCTCCTGTGTCAAGAAACCATGGTTAGCTGACAGGAGGACATAAGACCAAGAGTAGTGGCAGGTTGCAAGTAGTACCATGATCATTTTGTCCTCCATGCATCTGTAGCATAGTTGGAGTCGGCCAACGAGAGGCCGAAACCACAGGTCAAGTCGTGATGGAAGGGTTACGAGGTCTGTTCTCAGGATGGCGGGGTTGAGCAGGAAATCTCGGTTGGCACGATTGCCTGGAAATCGATTGAAATTTGAAGCCAGTGGTCAGATGGGAGAGGTATTCGTTTATCCAAAAGAATGGATAATAGACCAAGATGCGTGTGGGTATAATTTGGATTATCGATATTCCAAGATTGGGCCTTGAAGGGTGACGACGGATGAGACCGTCAATGTCAAGGATGGGGATGGGGCCGTATTGCCAGGGCTATGTCTTGGCTTGTGACCCAAAACACAAAGAAAACAGCCCAGTCAGCGTGAGTCGAAGGGGATGCCGAGAGGGCGAATTGGGCGTGTACCGCAGGTTTTGTAAAATTATAGGTAAGGAAATAGGTTAACTTTGGTGCACGTTAAACTTTGTTACCAAGAGAAACTTTGATTGTCGAGAGCTTTCAGAAGAGTCCGAGAGGTTGATGTTGAGGAGTGTGAAGGGGACGGGATTTGCGTCGTTATCATAGGCCGCTCCTAAGACTTGTGAAGTCATCAGACAATCTGATTGGCAGGGGTTGGATTGAAGCCACTGCCTGCTGGTAGGCACCTAGTGCTTGCTTGACCCTGGAAGACCCCCAAGACATAGGTAGCATGGAGGATGGCAATCGTACCTAACAAGCTCAAGCTCAACCGTTGTGATATTGGCTGTATTAAGCTACATTACTAGCTTTTCACTGGGCCTGGTCTCACGAGGCAAATGACGCCAGCATCCTTTTTCTTATTTCTTTGGCTTCAACATAATCCGATGTCAGATGAGATCTTATTGCTGAGTGCAAGAATGCGTTGAGTGTCGGATTGTAAACAAACTATGGGCCTGTAATTGGAGTTGTTTTCATATGAGACAATTAATTCGTTCGCCACAATCTTGCAGGTTTGTTCCCATCGGATACAAATCTTCAATCTCTCACTGAAGTCATCATCCATAGTTACTCCTGGTAAAAGGTTTTGCAACTGAGGCACATGAAGAAAGAATCGAGACGTGGAAAAAAAGATTTTCACAGACTTCTACTCTGCTACGCACCAAGGGCTAAATTCAATGGAAGAGGCATTTGAATCAAGGGACCGGTACCTTATAACCAAGAATCTACCCCTTGTTACCCATAGTGACTGAAAACCAAGATTCCATACTTTCACAAACTTTAATTCACATGCTGATTGATAGCTGTTGTTGGTAGGTTTGCTATAAGAGAGCGAATATACCTCTTGATTTATGCATCGATCAAGGAGTTTTCTCCAAGTTTTTCTTGTCACAAAAGTCACACCACGGTTAAGTGGCAGAGGGGAGTAGCAAACAAAACAAAATTAACAACTCATGTAGAAGTAAACCCAAAACCTTAGGTTCCCCTTTGGTTTTGATGCCCACGTGGAGAGGAACTTATAGGGAGGTGAGATGTTTCCCGCCAATGAACTTGTCTGAATACCATCTTGCCAAGCATCTGTGAGCCTCTTGAACAGAATTGGGTTCACGACGTCTGCTCCACCTAGACAAATGTATGATGGAGAGAAAAGGTTGTATGTTTCTTTGTACAGAGTTCACAACGGCCAGGGTGCCAAACTTAAGCTTATTACCTATCCGATGCTTTGTGCGAATTGCGGGCTGCTTGGATTGATTGCGATGTAAAATGGGTGGAACTATTTCAGCGTTACTGGGTAATATATGGTTTCGATAATACGAGGTAATCTGATTCACCAGGAAAAGGGTTGTTTCTATGTCTCGCTGCAAGTGTTGGCCGTCGTTAGAACAACTTGACTTGCATACACTATCGGCATTTTCAAGTATGACCGAGTCAGACGATCAGCTCAAGAGGTCAGGCCAACAGTCATGTCTTATACAGCACACAAAATACCGGGGGCTGCAACCACGCGACACTAACTGACAAGACAGCGCGCATGAAGAACATTGCATCGATTAGAATGTCTTTGATAGACGACCTCGATATCCTATCACGACGACAGATGATCACCGTAGTGTTATCTTTCCACACGAGAAGGGCAGAAATGATGCCCGGTGACCTCAATGGTATCCTGCCAGCCCTACCAAGAGGCACATGGACGATCTAAGATACTGTGCATCTTGACACAACCGCAGTAACCCTGGTTTAGAATAAGGTACCAAAGTATATTGTGACGAGACATCCATCCTAAGGTAGAGTAATTCTCAACGTGATGCCTCCAAATCGCACCGATAAGAAATTGGGCGATAACAGCCCGAATAGCGCGGGGTCAGCTGTAAGAAGTCTTGGAAGATGAGGGGCACTCTTCCTTTCTAGTGGGGTCTTCCCCAGGCTTTCGTGATCAATACCCGTCTGTTGCTTACGGACGAAGCAGAAAGAGGAAGGAAACAAGACGGAGACGTTGAATCCATAGTCTAGACGAGCAAGATGTAGAACTGTTGGAAAAATGCACAGGCTAATCTATTTTGTTGAGACTGCCTACCTACCTGCAAATATTCCCTCAGTTGCCATCCATTTGTTCTGACCGCCTTCCAGAACCAACCTAGGGACATGCGGAGAAAGTTGTCTCCTCATGGTTGGTCCGGGGCAAGCAGTCAGCTAAAAGAGGCTGGACCCTTGAGTCAGGGACGTTTTGGCATCGTGGATTCGACGTGCAGTAGTCAGAGGCAAGGTCCCTGGGTCTGTATGTATGTGGTGAGAAACGGCGGGTAACCCTTTGAAGTAATGATGGTCTTTTGTATAGTTGATCAAGTTCACACCTGGTTGAACAGTTCATCCCAAGGTTATGACTGGTGTGATAGTCAATCATATCAGAGCCACCCTCGAAGTCTTATCATGAGAAATCAATGGGTCTCAGTGCTATTTTGAAGAAACATCGAAATGAGAGATAAAATGTGCCACGCGGACACACGAGAGAAACTGACTTGTTTCTCATCCCCGGGTTTGGTTTGGCTTGGGTGAGATGCATAAAGGATGGGCGAGAGGGTGGGGAGAGCTGCACACCAAGAAGACCCTCAAAAAGCCCCTGAAGAAAGCGACAAGGAAAAGAAGAGTGTGTAGTGGTAGTGATTGGCTTGTGTTCCGGATCACCGTCCCGTTGGGTCTCTGGCACTCAGAATCCGGGCTTGTTTAGTACATACTGCGCAAGAGGACTTGGCTCCTTTTGCTTTTGCTCTTAGTAGCTTCGTGTTTGCCCGCGATGTAGTCTCAAAGTCTCATTCCAACCAGGATTCGCCTAAGGGCTACAACGTTGACTACCACATCGATACAAGACACGGCGCCCAGCATTTCGCCATCCGGGCCACCAGAAAGAGTCGCGTAAAGCCGATCACCCCGCCGCAGCCCGCACGATAAGAAGAAAATAGTGGGGGGCTTTAGCGTGGCATAGCCCAGAGCCTGGGAACGAAGGGTCCTCAACCGACCAACTGCACCTAGTGTCGTGTACTGTACTGTAAGGTACTGAGTGTATGGACTGTAGAGGTTGGGTAGGGTTGGCACTCCAAAACTCTATGGGATCTAGACAGTATGTGGATGTTACTATTGAATTGATGGGTAATGTTCTAGAGCATCCATCTTTGGACAAAAGCCTCAACTGCCTACAACGTGCCTTTATTACTTTCTTTTTTTATTTTGTGTTCCCATCCCCTCCTCTCTCAACCCTTTCCTTTCCTTTTCCCTCTTCTCTGGTGATCACCTCACACCCACGGTCATGTTCATCTCCTCACGGGCATGTGCCCTGTTCTCCAACTTCAACTAGAAAACGAGACTCGATTCTATTGGAAACTTCCTCGCTTCAAGTAAAAGCCCAGTACGACGAAACGGCCCCGCTGACCACCCCCACCACCCTCTCCCGAGTCCCCCGTTCGTCTGCTGATCCCCTCGGTTTCCCAGCAGAACACTGGACCCTGCTTATTCTATATTCTTCTTCCATCCTTCTTCGCGACTTTTTTTTTGACACTTGCTTCTTTTCTATTTCACCATTCCTCCTTTCGTCCATCAGTTTTACTCCCGGCTCATATCGATATACATCCTTCCTCCGCCAGCGATGAAATAAAGGATCCTGCATTTGCTGTAAGCGACCAGCGAGCAAGGCTCCAAGCCGCCCCCACTATCGACCGACTTCAATCAGACAATTATCTTCAATTGTTAGCAGCAGGCGTTATCCCGTCTGTCTCTTTCATACGGCAGCTGTGATACTAGACGTTTCGCGCTCTATACAGTACAAAGAACATACAAGCACGCCTCGAACACAATTGGAATTTCTAGTCATGGAGGTCCACGAGATAACATCGTCCGGCGCTCCGAGCCCGGGCCCAGAGGGCGTATCCACTCCGCCAGCGCCGGACATGCCGGTCAAGGGCAAGAGCCGACACCGTCTGATCCAGCGAATCCAGCGAATATCTTCAACGCCTTCATTGAGTGGTCTGCGTCGCTCCAGATCGGTTGGAAGCCGTGGGAGTCCTTATAGCACTCGAAGCACTCTCTCGTGTGTTAGTCTTGCGGCCACTGGACCGCCTCAGACCCCCTACAGCGCCCGTTCATCGACCCCACAGCCCTCGCCTCTTGGTCTACCCAGCGCTTTGAGCTCAACCCCCCAATCTTCAGGGGAGTTTCCATTCGACACTCCTGATGGTTATTTGGCCATTCGTAAGGTCGAAAATGCGACTCCGGTTACCACTCCTGGGACCGCCCCTCTCCCATCAGAGTTTCGGTCTAAGCAGGACGTACAGATTCGAACCCGACCTGGTGTAAAACCTATTCAGAAGCAACCATTCCGTTTCTGGGACAAGATGCCCAGTGAGCTTCAGATTCACATCTTTTCTTTCTTCCAGCCAAGAGAACTCGTGCAGGCATCTCGAGTATCCAAGGCCTTTTACAAGGCCTGCTTTGATGGTCAGCTGTGGACTTCCCTTGACGCTTCGGAATTCTATCGCGAGATTCCAGCCGAATCACTCGCCAGGATTATTGTTGCGGCTGGTCCTTTCATCAAGAATCTCAACCTGCGAGGTTGCGTGCAGGTCGAGCACTACAAGCGCACCGAGGTCATTGTAAAGGCATGCAAGAACCTCATGAACGCAACCCTGGAAGGTTGCCAAAATTTCCAAAAGAGCACGCTGCATAGCTTGCTACGTAACAACGAGAAGCTTGTTAGCCTCAATCTCACAGGGCTGACTGCGGTCTCAAACACATCCTGCAAGATCATTGCCGAGTCCTGCCCTCAGCTCGAGACCATCAATATTTCCTGGTGCGGCAGGGTAGATGCTCGAGGTATCAAGGCAGTCGTAGAGGCTTGCCCGAGATTGAGGGATCTTCGGGCCGGTGAAGTTGGAGGATTCGACAATGTTGCGACTGCCGAGGCTATTTTCAAGACAAATAACTTGGAGAGGTTGGTTCTGAGCGGATGCGCCGAACTCAACGACGAAGCCCTCCAGATTATGATGCATGGTGTTGAGCCTGAAATCGATATCCTCTCTGAACGACCCATTGTGCCAGCCCGCAAGCTTCGTCACCTCGACCTGAGCCGCTGTGTCCGACTAACAGATGCAGGCGTGAAGGCGATCGGCCATCTTGTCCCTGATCTTGAGGGTCTGCAACTCTCAGGCTGTAAGTTGTTGAATGACGACGCTCTCGAGTCCATTCTCGCTTCCACCCCTCGGTTGACACACCTCGAACTCGAGGACCTCGAAAACCTCACGAACTCGATCCTATCAGAGCATCTCGCCAAAGCTCCTTGTGCATCTTCGATAGAGCATCTCTCTCTTAGCTACTGCGAAAACTTGGGCGACACTGGGATGATTCCGGTTATGCAAACATGCACGAACCTTCAGAACGTCGACCTTGACAACACTCGAGTCAGTGACCTCGTCCTCGCCGAAGCAGCCGCAATGGTCATGAAACGCTCTCAACGATCTATCGAAACGGGAACACGACCGAAACTGACCCTCCAAATGGTCGTCTACGATTGTCAAAACGTGACCTGGACAGGTGTCCGTGAGGTGCTCTTTCGCAACACACAAGTCAAGGCTGTATCAGGCCAACCTGGCCGAGTGAGCTACCCAACCGAGATGATCGGGCTTAAGTGCTTCTATGGCTTTCAGATGACCGTCGATGAGCATCAGAAGCGAGTTCTGCGTGGTGATCTTGCGTCCGCTGGTCGCCTGGAGAGGAAATGGGCAGACTACATGCAAGCCACAGAAGAAGCAGGCATGACAGGTGCAGGCTACCGAAGACGCAGGCGTCGAGCCAGAGAAGCCCAGGCCCTCCATTTAGACGAAGAGGATGGTGGTTTTGGTCCTACCGGCCGTCGGAGGGCACGCACCCTGGGCTCGTGCGCTGTCATGTAGGCCCTGAATACGATACACACGGTACATTAAGCGAATGCACGCCAATATACAGCAGAATGGTATACGAATATGCTGGGACTTTTTTCTTCTTCCTTTTCTCGGGGCGTCTTGGGGTTTGGTTAAATGGGTAGATGTTTATTTGGCGGGGGCTGCTCGCCTTCTTGTTGTTAACGGCGTTATGGTAGATCACGGCGTTCTCTTTTTCATGGCAGTCCTTATGCCATGATAGTGGTGTGCATTTCAGCGCATTGAGCATATTGAACGACGTTGTGCATATCTGTATAGACAGTCAAATACATTGAACGTAGATTCGAAACCAACATCTACAGAAACCTTGGTACGCTTTTTGGAATCTCACGTCGAGGTTAGAATATTTCAGTCACTATCCGTTCGCCGCGATGTGATCTCCACCACCGTGAGTTCCTCGCCAATTCGCCTTCGTCACCCCCTACAATGTCCGACCACTTGAGTATGAACTCTTCCGTTGCCTCCCAACTTCTTGAGTCCCAGGGGGTTCCAGTATGTGCGCCTGCAATGCCTCCCCAACAAGTCAAGTGATTAAGTGAATCATGGAAGAACTCATCCTCATCCATGTCATTCATCTTCTCGATGATGTTGTCCCTGATATCCTTGAAGGGAATCACATCGATAAACGGATGGTGATTAACAACAACCTGCTTTCGTGTAGGGCGGAGATCGAAATGCAGGGTGCGGGATCCACGCTGGACAGATGTGATGATAGCTTCAGGATTAGGATCCGAATCCGCGTGTGCCCTGTAGAAGGGTGAAATGGCATCGTCAGAACAGTACATCGATCTTGTTATCCCAAGTGAGAGACAATTCTCGAGCATAGCGCTGATAATGCATATGATGTCGATCTGGAGATTGTTTTTGTATGGATCTGGGATAACAGGGAGAAGGACTTCTCTGGAATGGTTGGGAATGTGAAGTGTAGGACAACCACAGTTGAAGAACAGCACTGGTGCTGTGTACTCATCGTATATGGGGTTTTCAGAAATCCATTGGTCAAAGTCTTCGAAGATGAGGCTGGCACTCCACGTCCCTATATCCGTCGTCGACTGTGATATCGAGTTTCCAGGATCAGGATGGGGGTATGAAGGATTGATAGTTTCAGCGTCTATGGGAGTTCCACTGACAGGTGCTGAAGTAAGCCCTCCTGCGGGATTCTCCCCGTGAATGAGGGACCTGTCACTGTTTTCCTGTAATGCAGCTCCCTGCTCGGCTGCTCGGCGCTCTAGCTCCTGTATGCGCTTCCGCTGCTTTTCCCCTGAAATGGATCATGTCAGCCACCAGCAGCAAAGTACCCAAGCGGCTTATATAAAGAGATTTTGGTTCCCATGCTGAGTTAACTCACTGTATGTCTGCTGAGCTAAGCGGTTCTGTAGGCGCCTCTTCTCGGGATCACGGCGGATGACCTTCTTCTTGATGGCTGAAGGCTCCTTTTGACTAGATTGACTGGCATTCGTTGAGCGCTGAGAGGTGCCGGGACGTTCTCGTCCCATCTTTTTCTGATTTAAAAATATATCGTACGAAACTGTTGATTGCAAAATACTATTGAAAGAGTTGATCACCTCGAGTGAAGTGAAGTGAAGGCATCGCGAGGATTCTTGTAAGCCACTGGTATGGCTTATGGCTGACGTGAGCCACTCGGCCCTCACTAGTACAATATTATTGTTGCCAGCTGACTTACCCTATACATTTTCTTGATCCAAACATTTCTTCGAGGCAGTTTCTGGCCATCAACTGTGGATTGCATGGTGATTGTGTACTGCTGCCTGTCCCCCATACAGACCTATGGGTGTGTTGATATCCAAACTGACTGGGGTAAAAACTCTTTCGCTACATTTGACAAATACTGTCGTCAAGTTCAGTCACAACCGACCCTTGCCTAATCTCTTCTTGGTCAATAGTTCGTCGACAGTTTGACGGAGCTAGCCCACCAATCGTATCCTTCTCCTGGCTAAAGACGTCCGTAGGTTCGACCGGCAAGAATATCGGGAATTCTTCAACAAATAGATATTATCATACATCTATGCGTCATTGGAAGCGAGCAATGGTCAATGGTTTGCTCCGGGATTGGGCCGGACGAAATGCAGCGGGTGGCAGCATATTAGCCTGACGCTAAACTGATCGTCCCCTCTAAATCGCTGAAGAATCGGATTCAAACTCTCCGACATGTGGACTTTTGGACGGCTTATTATAAATTTTCCCGTTCCTACCATCACAGGCTCTCATCCCATCGAGAACTGGTTGCTCCGTGGTGTCAACGGCTCCGACCTCTCGGCCGGCCGGTCTTGGATGGCTGAACGGGAATGTGGGGCCGGGCATGTGGCCTACCGAGCGCCGAGGTCCCGAGGTCATCATCCATAGTTCGAGCTTCACAACTTCGTGACTGAGGACTCACAACGACGCCCAACACTACCCACTACATCAAATAATATAGGAAAGGTATAAACGAGTAAAATGCCACTTGAGGTCATATACGTCACTCGTCACGGAGTAAGTTCCCATCAGCCTCGACTGTCCCGGCCATAGATTTCTTTGTCCTGGTATTGATAAATTGGCCCCGAGTATAGTTCCGTTCTGGATGGAGTGTCGATCCTCTCACTGGTGTGTACACCGGATTCATACGATCGCCAACAGGCATCCCCGCGGACCCAGCCTTGACGTCTCATGGGGTCTCACAATCAAAAGAGATGGGTAAACATCTCATGACCCTGGAACCTCCCATCGACGCCGTATACTCAAGCCCGTATTATCGATGTCTGCAAACGATAACACCATTCATTGAACTCAAACAACAGCAACTCAAAGACCAACCAGGTATTCGAGGCTCTGCGGCGGCCACAATACGCCCAGAACATGGCATAGGTGAGTTCTTTGGGGCAGCACCTTTCGACCATCCAACCCCCGCCTCTTCCAAGCGACTCAAGGAGCTATTTCCAGCATTCGATGAGAACTATGCGTCTGCGATAACGCCCTCTAGAAAAGGCGAAACGATCAATGACCTATATGGGCGAGTTGCAGCAGCTGTACGAGCCATCATCGAGCGCTGTGACGCAGAAGGACACCGTGCTGTGGTGTTATGCACCCATGCTGCGGTCGTCATAACACTGGGCCGTATCCTTACAGGACGTATTCCCAAAGCTGTCGAGGAAGAAGATTTCCACGCCTTTACGTGTGGACTGAGCACGTACCGCCGGCGAGGCCCAGGCCTGAAGAGAACTCCGATGTTGGGCCCTAGTAAGTTTGTTCGGTAGTGGATATCAAGTGACCAACACCGGCGGCGGGATATTGACAAACACATAAACACAGACAAATCTCACCCACCTACAAGCGACCTCAGTCCAGTAGGGGAGTGGCAGTGCGAAATCGATAGCGATTGTGGTTTCTTGACTTCTGGAGAGGAACGAGGCTGGTGCGTTAACAATACCCTCCATTCTCGCGACAAATACCGAATTAGTTATAGGCTGACCCAAAACGCAGGAAATTTTCTGGCGATGAATCGTTTCCGGGAACCGGCTCGATGTCGCAAGTTGATATTGAGTCCAAATTATAGTGCCGCTCATAGGAGGAGCGTATCACTATATGTTCAGGTAATGAGAGCTCTATAACTTCGGGTCTTGAACCGGCAGATGGCAGATATGTCCCGAGGTTACAGTTACAACAATATACCAGCTATAAAACTCTGAATATCACAATCTTGCCGAAGAATAAAAAACATATTTTGTGACATTACTTGAACCGCTTCAACTGCTCGTATCATACAAAGTCAGGGTCCCAGTGCTAAACCCAAAGAGTTGATTTCTACCGAATACACCCTTGGAAATAAGCAATAACCAGAACATGCCCGCTGCAACAGCACGTGTTCAGTTTGAATTGTGTTGGTTGTATTCCCGTCGAGGATGCATATGAACAAGCCTACAAGGCTTCTTCAACGTTTGAACCCCTGGCACTAAGTTCAACGTGCCTGCATCGCATCTGCGTGCAGTAGCCAACTGGGCTTGGATTGTGTAACAGCATAACGGGGGTTTCCCTGTGGCTAGATACTTTGGGTTCCGTTGCAGCGACACAAAAGACTGTTCAGTGCTTTATGACTCGGTGACGACAAGTCGGCAACTAAAAAATCAACGAGTCAATCAAAGTTGAGTCAACCGTAAAGTCCCCTTACATTGAGGTCAAGAAAAATCTGAACATAGCCATCAAGATGCGGGCCAGACCGAAAATAAAGGTGACTATGCACCCATAACGGAACATCCGACCCTAGCTCTGCTGAGCCGTTAGGTTAGCCATCTTCGGAGACGAACATGTTGGGTAATAAGTTGCGTCACTGGAGAATAGACAGGCTGGCGATTAGGCTACGTATCAGCAGTACAAGGATCATCATCCGAACGATTGTTCCTTTCAAGAATGGAGCTAGGAACACTGATCCTCAGCTGATATCATCTTGATTAGCGTTTTGACTATAAACAACTAACAAGATCCCTTTGACAAATAGGAAGCCGTTGTTGACGAATTGTAATGTAAATATTCAACGGCCCGTGTCATCCGTGTATCGCTCACATGCGAACTTGTGGAGAAGAGCAAGGATAGACTAGAGGAAGACTGGCGAAGGCTCCAGTCCGGAAACACGAAGCAACGATATGTGCGATGCATGTTTTATTAGGAGGTTCACAGCAATGACATGCCTTGCATGTTGTGAGATTTTCTCCATCTTACACAGGGCAAGCAAGGAGGCTGGTGAGAAGCTCGGGTATAAGATCCGTGAGACGGCGTTGCAGATGTACCCAATAATAAATGCAGATATCCTCCACATGATAGTGTAACATAGTGAGGGACTCAGGTGGTTAGGAGTCAGGAGTCAGGAGATAGACCCGGAACATGAATCAAATGAATGATCAGAATGAGCTTGTCTTGTCTCTAAAAATATATATATATATATATAAAAAAATCTCTCAGCGCATGGTCGACTATTCGATGAGAAAAACCCACACAGGTTACCCAGACCTACCTGCTACTCTACCCAATTGACAGACAATAAAGATGTAAAGGTGGAGAGAGTGGAGGTGGGCCTTGAGGAGAAAAGAGGAAAGATGATACATAATTCAACTGATCGGTTTAATTATTAAATCAGGATATTTTCATGATAGATTTCGTGGCGTCCGATCGCCTCGAGCTTGTGGATCTTATAGAAGATGAGACGTTTAAGGACCTCGTTAATCTAACGGCCGAGAGGCAGATATCTTAGGCTACCTTAGTACCTAGTATTCAAGATTGACGTTATGTTGGTAGCGCGACAAACGCTAGGCGCTTGGGTCATGTGCTTGATCTTTAGACTCAACACACCTCAAGGCAAGTGCTTTCCATAAGGTAATGAGGCTCAAGTCAACTTCACCTGACTGAATGGAAGGAATGGAAGCCACGACTGCCCACGAGGGGGATGCCTTAGGTTTCAGCTGAAACAAAGTCCATCTTGTCTTGGCGAGTTGACCGATATTTCTCGTCAACCTCATACTCTCATCATCCTTGTTGCTCATCTGTCATCTCTCACTTTCCTCAGCTCGCAACTGCAACAAAATCTCGACACCGCCCCAAAGCAACGAGAATCTTTCTGCAACGTTTGCCGTATTGGGATTGGAGAGGTGTGGCTGGCCACCCAGTGCGCAACACCCATTCGCTGTGTTGGCCAAGGCATTAGCAGCAAAAAAGCAAATCCGTCATCTGTTGGTTACACAGCACATCTCCTTAAGCATCTCGTCTTAATGAGGAGCCGATGACGAACGCCTGCATGGTATTGCAGACTTGCTGGGGGTTATCACAGTAGCATGACGGCGCCTCAGACGCTATTGCGCGCCTATACTGAGTTCAGCCCGACCTGATGGGAAGCTATCGATCTGAATATGCCGCCATCTGCAAGTATCCGATTCGGATATAATGAAGAAATGATATTTGATATAACAGATAGATCATCTATCAACTTTTGAAAAGTGAGAAAACAGTACATGTCTATGGGATCCGAATAGCGATCACCAGCGTATATTCTATCGCCACAATCAAGATCAACAATGATGACCAGCAACAACCAACAGTGCTTCAAAGAGTAACTAAGATTCATTGACCGGATCTGTCAACAATGGGTCCTCTCTTCCAGGCTTGCTTCCTCAACGCTACGGTCGCGCCCTCGCGCCGCCAGCCCGCGAGATAATCCTGCATCGTCATCGCCAATACAAGACACACAGGAAATAGTCGTCGCATATCTTCCTAGGAAATGACTTTGAAGCTCAGATTGGACCTGCGTTGCCTGCGTAGTCCGCTGGTAATGAGTCGACTGCACCCAAGCGGAGCAAGTGCTCCCACACAAGATACACGTCAAATATGACAGGATACCCTGCAGACTTTGTGGCTTTCTAAGTTTTGCTTCTTTTTTTCTTTAGAAAATGTACTCAATGGATGTACACCGCTGCTTGTAATCAGACTCGGACGCCTCCTCTGCACCCTTTTACCCTTTCATCTCGCCCGCAGCATGTAAGTTTCTGGATGGCCAACGGTGCAGAATGCCTAGCACCTTATTCTTCCTGTACGAATAGCAGCGGAAGCTTTCTCTCATTGGCCCTGTTTCTCACAAAAGCTCCCGCTGCCCCCCGACCTCATGAGTTGATTTCCCCGCTATGGCCAGATACTCGTTCTTGCCTCCACCAAGTCGCTGAGCCTGCTGCGATTAGCGGCAGTCCATAGACATACATCCGGTTGCCATCTGAGTCAGAAGACTATCACTGACTTCCATGTGCAAGAGAATATATGCTGGTAGCCGACACTCAATCCTGGTCAGACGGGGGCTGCCTTCATCATAGTTGTCTCCGACGGAACTATTGGCGTCACGTTTTAACAACACCCCTCCAGCTCGACCAGAAAACAGTTGACCCACGCCTATGGTCCCAGCAGAACGGTTGAGGCGTACGCTACTGGCTTTAACAGCCAACCAGCACTGTGTTAAGTTATTGAGCAAACAATTTTTTCTCAGTAAGTTAGTCTTGAAAAGCCTGCTGCCGGCTACAGTCAAAGTGGCAGCAGATTGGCCTAGATCGGAAGCACCAACATAGTGGCAACCCCCCGGCCAATGACATTAACACATCTCAAGTGAGATCTTTCTGGGATCTGAACGACAGGGCTTGCCCCGGACAGTGCAAATTCGGTTTAACGCGATCTCAGAGGCTGCGTTAAATGGGCCACTCCCCAGTCTAGCGAGCCAGATGGGCTAGGGTGCCTTGACCATGGCCTAGCTTGTCCACAGTGCAGAAAATGTTCATCTTTAAAAAACCATAACAGACTGTTTGATTATCGGAAGCGACAAGTTTCGCGATTGGATTATTCAAGATAGATTCTGGCTAGTACGTCTCCCCTTGGACATCTCGCCTCAGCTATGGAGTAGTACTCCATGCTCGAATTTGATCAGAGTGTGTGCCTCTTTTAGGGATAGGTCACTCCGCTCAACTATCCGCCCCTTGCTTCTACGCGATGCGGGTCTCCCTGGACAGGAAGAGACATCTAGGTACTGCTCTTTTTTCCTCTTTACTCTTCTTTTGACGGAAGACTGCCCATATGCTAATCCTGTGAACTGAACTTGTAGTTGGGGAATGTATTGGTGACTGTACACCCTAAGGAGTTGTTTGCCAAGCGGGTTAGCCTATGAAACCATGGTTGGTTGGATGCATCATACATACGATACGCAGGCTTTGTTGCTCCACCAAGGATGGCAGTTGAAGCAACCTGCAGTAAAAGGCATGGTAAAGCAGGACGATCATCCTAGTGGGCGGGCGTTCTGCACGTGCTGACAGGCTGCTCTGACGAAGCGGCGCCCTCAGTTGCAGCAACGCATCCGCACGAAACTATCTTTATAACCCTGCGGCAGGTACGGATAGGATCCCGGTTGATACTTTTGCTTCTTCGCTCCACCTTATCTCCTCTTGGCGGGGAGGGTCTTGGAGAGGGTGTCCCCCAGAAAAGAAAGGCGTTTTGTCTAACGCCAAGTTCGACTGTTGGTAGCGTCTATCACCTCGGACAGGGGTGGCACACAGACCCCTTCATAAGTCGAGACAATCACTGAATAACGTCTCGTCCTTTGATGTTGGCTTATTACCGGCGCTCAGGTACCAGACAAAAGAGCGAGAGAGTTTGCATCGGGTGAAATCAAGCGTGCCTTGGCCCTACAGACAAAAAGACCTTCAACACATCGCGAATCGAATACAAGAGAGTCGGCCCCCCTCCCATTGAGCTGTCTATATCTGAAGTCGTATCCGCATTTTCAGTAGATATTCCCGGCTCTAACTCTCCCTTCTTTCTTAAAGTCCCTTTACTCTCCCTTCGCCCCTTGCTTAGGTCCTGTAAACCAAGACGTATCTAGTTTCCACTTGCCTTTGCCCTCGGCCAGCCTCGAAGTTTTCAACTACCGCCAGACGCCTCCCTGATAATTCCTCAAGAGGGGACCCATTTCCACCTGAATCATAACAAACAACTCTGGATCAAAACAAAGAACCAGAACCATTTACATCGGCTTGTCTGCTTGCTGTGTGACAGTTGCCAGACGCCTGTCAAAATGAGTATTCATCCATTCCTCAAGATGGAGGGGGCCTCTAGGAGACATTCGGCAGAAGACCCGAACCAGACACACACCTATCAATGCTCGACTCAACCCCAAACCCCGCCATGTTCAACCTCAGGAAGCCCCAGAGTCAAGATTGAGGGTAAGTTCTGGTTTTATCAGAGACTCAGCTCTTCAGCATGGAAACCCGAGACTAACAACACTAAGAGTTTACAAGCCTCCCCAGATTACATGACGCCGTATCATCTCAAGGGAACAACTTTGTGAAGCTCCCTAGTTTAGGAGAATTTGACGAAGGAGTTGACGCCCTCATTCGAACACATGGACCAGTGAAGACCTGGACTCCATTATCTCCACTCCCTGGACTTTCTCGCAACCCGACGGCCCTTGAGCCTCTGAGATCCATTACACAACCTCAGCCATCTTGGTCTTTCCAATCTGATGACCTTCCTAACAACTACCCGATCTCAAGAAGAGGGACCATCAGCGGCCATAATCAATACTTGCTTGCAGTTGATCATCCACAGCAACCTTTGCAGGGAAACTATCGGAACCCAGACACTTACTACGGCTATGGCGCTGGCAGCCCATCCCTTCAAACACCATCGAACACGCATTGCTATCCAAGTCCACCACCAGACGGTGAGGGTCGGCATATTAACCAAAAGTACACAACTGAGGAAGGTGACTACATCATCTACGCCTGGCATGACAAGAAGATGAAGTGGCAGCGCATCAAGCAAGAATTTGCAGCTCGGTTCGGCACTACTCCCGAGCGTACGATCCAAGGTCTCCAAGCGTGGTATTACCGTATGAACCAACGCATACCTGTTTGGGACCAGGAAGGCTGGCTCTGCTTCGATAACGAAGATGACCTTGAACCTCAGCATGTTAGCATCAAGGTTCGTGAACGGGATAGCCAGGACAAACCCATGGAGCCACTTGGCATAGCTCAGCGATACCCCGAACGTGCTATTCACTATTCGTGGGTCGACGCTGAGACTAAGTTCAAGGCCCAAGACTGGGGTACGTATTTATCACTCATTGAGCCATGACAATGAAACTAACACTGCTTATAGCTGCTAAAAGAGCTTTGCAATACCGCGACAGGCGAGAGAGACGTAGAAGAAAGGAGCAGCGACGACTGAAACTATGAAGAATGAAGCATGCCGTTCCCTGTGACCAAGCTTGCGGCCCGAATCAACAATCGGCGGAGATACTGATGAACACAGAGCGACCTCGACCACCGTTGCCACTGATGAAGCGAATTGTTTCCTTTTCCTATTTGGTTTGAACTCAAAGAGTTCTATATTACGCTTTTCAACGACCGAATTTCCGACGACACGACGATCATGTTCCTACCATACCCTGAAGCATGTAACTAAATCTCCTTTGTCATATCCGTACATTTCATTTCGTGTTCTTGCTTTTCCAGCCCTCGAGTGTTTTGCAGACCACTCTTGGACATGATGTATCAGCATGATGCAAAATACCACCGGGGAAGGATAACACTGGGGGTGGGCAAAAGAGATAGCTGATTGACATGTCGAGTTAGTGTGTTTCCCATATGTTTGTACTATTAGACGAACCACGATTGATTCCCTCAAAATAATGATACCAATGGATATAGCAGGGGTGTTACTATGGTAGAATCGGCATGCAAAACTCTTCAGCTGCTAATACCACGCCAAGTGTATTGTATGTTTCATGTCTTGGCAAAAAGCTTCTATATCTGAAATCTATTGTGATTCACTTGGCATTTGACTATAATAAGCTTCAGCTCAGATGTAGATGTCATGTTATGCAAGCTTATGATCTTAAAGCCACTGCCTCCGCCCCTTTTCCCGACAAGCGGTTGCCAAGAATCTAAGTCAATTCATTCGGCATTTCGCATCTGCTTTGATAAAGCGAAGACAAACATGTAGATCCCCCTGGGGTAAAACAGTTCAGGCCGCTAGTGCAGGGCTAAAAGGCCCTGATACCATCTCGGACATGGCACGTGTCTCGAGGACGGTGTATCTAGACGGCGTGCAGATGCAAGATCCCTTCTCTGAGCAAGGTTAGATGCCAGATCCCCGTTACCAACATGCCTCTGCACGCATCGTGGGGTATGCGATAGAATCCTGGCGCACAAACCAGTCATTGTCCCGATACTGGTGCATTTCAGTATCAAATACCCTCCTCCCCCTTGGCGCGGGCAAACAATGGACAACTTCCAACGTGTGACGGATTCTCCGAGCCTATTCCGTCGACAAAAGACGACTGGCCATGCCAGATCGGGATCTTTGCATGTATTGTTGGTGGTTTACTTGAAATGCATGTTCGGCGAGTGAGACGAATGATGAAGGTGTCATGCCTCAGGGGTACACCGTTGTGGCTTGCGCAATCAAGGGTCCTCAGAATAAGAATGCGAGGTAGAGAAGTTTGGGGGGAAAGCGACTATCCTACACTGTCTGTTGTTTGTTGGCGGCGAGGGCGTGTGAGATCTGCTTGTGGTGGTTGACATGATGGGACATGTTGATTTGTTGCTGCTGGGCTGAAAGTCTAACGCCTCAAAAATCTTTAGACTAGTTTGTTTGCTCTATGTGCTTCTATTGAAAGGCTTTGCTGTGCCTCATATAGGTCCTGATACGAGCCATGGTGGCGTCGTCGTCGCCGCCGCCGTCGAGGACCATGTCATTGTCGCTTTCGTCATAGTACATGTTGTCAAACTCTTCGTCGTCAGATGCATTCCCATTCCGATAGCCATAAGGATGGCGCCCGTATTCATCATCTGACTCTACCTCGTCTTCTGGATAGTCAGCCGTGTAGTAGTTCTCGGCTAACAAGTTTGCTTTGTTAGTCTTGATTCTCAAGTCTTCAAGCTGGGTGGTGTTGCCCAAGACTAGCCGAGAGACTCACCATTCTCATCCTCGTCATCTTCGTCAAGGTCCTCGTCTTCATCACGCTCAGGGCCGTAGAATAGGTTGCTCTCCTCCTTTCCATCAAGAACCAACACGCCAACATCGGTCGGTGCAACATCGACAGTCATGGCGTGTGCAGGGATGCGGACGTATTCCTCGATGATCCAATCGTCGTCGTCCTCTGCCTCACTCTCACCCATATTCATGCTGACATCGTTTGGCTCGGATGTGCTTGTAGCCACCTCTGGGTGACGCTCCTGATATCTCTTAGCTGGAGCTCTAGGCTTGAACCTGGCTACTCTTTGCTTTTCCTGTTCCATATCCTGGAGGTTGGCCCCAATCTCTTTCATAACCCAGTCGTTCATGTCAGCAGTTATCTTTGATAAATCTTGGTTGTGAGGACTCGTAACGGAAGTTGGAAGAGGAGACCGTGTATTGGGGCCAGGAAGAGGAGAGTTCTGTCTGCTCCTTGCTGCTGGTTTTTTGAGACGTCGCTCCTGTTGTGGTGGCTCCTCTGAAGGCTGCAATTCGGACGAGGCATCTGAAGACATCGTTATGTCTTGACTTGGTTGCGCTTGTGGTACTGGTATAGATGCCTGAATGGTCTTCATAACCTGAGAGGCTCGTTGACTAGCTTTTGCACGGCTTCGTTCGACGAAGACAGCAGGTCCGTAGCGTGCTCGCTTATTTAGACCAGCACCTGATGGTTGTGCCGCATTAGAGGCCATCATCATCTTCCTCGATATGTGAAAGCGTCGTGGTTCGGTGCCCTTGGAGGTTTCGATCAATTTGGTGTCCGGTATAGGGGCGACATCATCAAGGTCGACCCTCTTCTTTGTTGGTGGTGTATCATCGCTCGGTCCGGAGACGTGAATGACTGGCTTGGCATCACGAAGAGACGGTGATGGGTTCTCTATCGTCGGGGACTGAGGGCCGGGGTGCCTCCTTTGATAGACCCATTTGCTATCACTTCGATGGCGTTTTGCGCCTTCGTCAAACTCTGGATCGAGTTAGATTCTGCAATAGTGAACGCGCAGTAGAAGAAGGCGTACGGAGAAAGGTCACAGGAGACTCGTCGTCGCGCTTTCGCTTCACGCGGATGAGCTGAGGTGGAATCGACATGTTGCTATATGTTTCGAGTGATTCGACGAGATGAAACGCGAAGGAAGGAAACAAGCAAGTCCGCTGATGACGCAGTCTAGATGTACGAGCGATCAAGCAGAGGAAATAAGCTTGAGTGATTCTTATGCGACTGAAACCACGGTGGTTTTAGAGAAGGCTTCTTTGAATGCGCCGGTTGCGTGAGTAAGCGTGCGAGAGGTTGTGTTTTCGCCGCGAACGATGAGGTCAGAAGCTGGCAACGGTATTTTCTCAAATTTTCATCCACTTACCGTAGGTTAAAGGTGGGGCCACTCACTGGGAAGAGCCGCCTAAAGAGCCTCCTGGGAGGTGGGGCCATGCTGGTTTTAGTGTCTGCGTTAGTGGGCAGTTATCCTGGCAATTGGTGGGGGTTGGTGGTTGGGCTTCATCCACTGAACGGAGTGAACCGACTTGAGCTGAGAAATGCATAAAGAGATTGAAAATCAGAAACGAATATATCAGTGCCTTAGTCACACACTCGGTAATTACCTAGGTAGATACACTATCTTATCGTACTGCCTGTCTTGTCTCTAAAATGAAATGGCTGCTGCTCTTGAATTGGCTTTCGACGGTGCAAGGTTGAGCTGGGAAGTGGGGTTAACGGTTAAGAATCTCCTGATACTGGGACAAGCAAGCAACCAAAAGCTCTTCAGAGCTGGAGGTCCAGACCAGCTTGATGATTTCAAATCCTGAACGCTAATAACGTATTTACAGGAGAGGAAGCCGGCTGTAACATGCCTGATATTTGGTTCAGACAAGCGAGAGGAGGCAGAGACATGCTCATAGCTTGCTTCGACAGCTTGAAAACGGTTGGAATGCGGGGGCGCACGGTTCACCGTAGTCTATCCACAAGTGCATATCCAGTCATGCTATGCCGTAGTCTCACAAGTGCTGGGGCATCGTGTTCACAACCCACGGGTAGTTGCTGATTTCTTCCCTGCTCCCGTTGATTGACGTGCATGAACTCAACGGGATCTTTGTGCTGGCATACAGCGGAACGGGGTCAAGATGGATCAAGAGATCAACTGCGATGTAACCAATTGCCAAGGAGATGGAGAGGCATCGTTGCGCGTGGATCGGCGGCTATAAAACAGGTCACCAAAGCTAATTGGTACATAACTACAAGGTCAGAAAAGACCCGTCGTCAATGCAGATCGTGATCAACCCCGGATTACGGCGTAGCCTTCAACACCAAGATTGGTACTGGCTTGGGCGTAGGATTATGAATTGCAAAACGCCTTTTAGTTACGGTAGATCATACACGAGTTTCTTATATACATGAATCAGATTCAGTCGCTTCTCTGACCACGAATTACAGTTCTCTGCCCCCTCATCTCTCGTCCCTTGAGCTCAATGACGTCTATCCAGCACTTGTTCTAGAGGGTACCTAATAAGTATCCTCGGTGTAGGTAGGTAAGGTAGGTAACTAAGAGTGACCTGAAAAAGTCAATGCAAACTCACGTGTTTGGGCCCCAACGGCAGACTCCAACGTCTCATTCCGTTACTCTCCCTTGTCTTCTTGTCCTTGTCCTTGAGATTTGTCCTCTACAGTCAACTTAGTAGGTGCCTTGCTCCTCACAAAGCCCAAGGCATCGATCGGCCGCAAGATCAAGCTCAAGCTCCAGGTTGGTGTTGCATTGACCTTCAGCTGTCGTCATCCCGCCTCCTCCCTCCCGTTCTCCTCCTCACTCATGTCTTCACCCAACTTCCATCATTAACCTTTCTTTCTTTCGTCATTCTACACCTCACCTCTAATTTTCCCTCATTTTCTTTACGTGTCGCGCTTTTTCGACCTGTTGTCAATGCGTGGTGATCCTGCTGTATTGATCTCTGGATCATCACCCTGTGTCGACAGAGGTACGAATATCCATCCCTGTCCGTCGTTCGATTCTCGCGCGCTCCGAAATCAGAGCATCGATGCCAACTCAGTAACCTTTTTAGAAACCTACGATTTGCCTTAATTACGCCTTTGCCTCATCATTTAACTGTTCATTCACGTATGCATTTTGACCACGCTTCTGCCTTGGCTGCGAGTTACTTACTGTATCAGTGTACTTTCGGCTCAACCCACCATGTCATCCAAAACGCCATGTACAGTTACCTACAAGAAGCCTGGGACTTTACCTCCTGTCTTTCTTGCAGGCTCCTTCACTGATCCACAATGGCAACTTCAAGAGATGGAATACACTACTGACCAAAACGGAGACCATATTTTTCGGTCTGAAGTTATGCTAGAACCTGATCAGGATTACCAATTCAAGCTCCGCATAGGTCATGACAATTGGGCTCTAGCCGAGAACTATCCTACTGGTGAGTGCAGAGCCATTCCCTATCCCGAGCTGCTCCCTGATATTTTGTTCCAAAGCAACCGATGATTCCGGAAATCAGAACAATGTTATACGCGCACCTGAAAAGCCAGCTGAAGAGCAGATCGCACCAGCCGGCGTCGATACGCCAGCGATCAATTTGAACCCCCCTGCCAGTCAGCTCCCTTCGACATCTACAGAAGCAGAATCCGTCGCCGAGAACGCGGAAGATTTCAAGGTTCCATTATTTGCACACGAGTCACTAGGTAACGATGTTGAAGAAGAAACCGATGACAACAAGATACCATTGTTGGCGCATGAAACTCTGGGCGATGAGTCCAAGGAGGAAGACGAAGCAGAGGCCTTCAAGGCACCTCTTTTGGCCCACGAAACGCTCGGAAGCGATGCGAAGGAGGACTCTGAAGAAATGAAAATGCCACTGTTTGCACACGAGTGTCTTGGTGCTTATGATTTTGGAGAAGAGCCAGACTCAGCTCCGATCGCAGTCAATAGCCCAGGTCAAAGTTCAAGAGCCAAATCGAAGCACGACGAATCTTCCGACATCGACGTCAACGACCCTACACTCGAGACCTTCCCTTCCGATCGCGGCTCGATCCTTGATGCCATTCGGACCATTCAGACTCACCTTGGAGAAGATCAGACCCATCTCGAGGACATTCCTCTGTCACCTCGTGTAATCTCATCTAGAAGGACTAGTCTGGATTCTAACGATGACTTGTGTTTGTCACCCGCGTCTTTGAGTCCTACCGTTACTAGGAGACGAGACAGCAGACCTTCTCATAGTTTCGGACGAACTCGTTCCTTAGTATCTCTAGGCTCGATCGAAGAGGAGCCCAAACCTGCTTCGAGCAAGCAATCCGCAGGCCCTGCCGTTGTATCTCTACCGAATCCCAACTCCAAGAGCAAGCCGGTCGGGCAGAAGTCACCCCCTAGTGAGGAAGACGAAGCTGTCGTAATGAAGACCTCAGAGGTAAAACCCAGTACGAAGACCAATGGCGAGTCAGCATCTCAAGTTGAAAGTTATGAGGCCCAGAATACCCAACACGATAAGGCCTCCAGCGCCACCACGGCTGCAGATACCCCAGCTGCAATCTCCCAAGCGATCGACAGCCCATCTAACGATACGCCATCGATCGGTAAATCTGTGCAAAATGAATCGTCCGGAATCCCTGAGTCCGAAGCAGTTCAATCCTCAAAAGAGCCACAACCAACACCAGATCCAATTATCGACAATAAAATCAAGAAAACGGCGGCTTCAGGGGATCCTTCTCGAGCCCCGCCACGTGGCAGTGTTGTGCCTTTGTGAGTACCTACTTGACATGCCGAAGAGAATGCTTCTAACAATGATGCCTCAGAATCGTTACAACGGGAGCCCTCGCTGTCGCCATTGGGATAGGGTGGTGGCAGGCGGCCGACCACTAGGAGAAGTAACCTTCTAACGTTGATTCTGGCTTTGGGCTGGATTGGGTAGTTTTCATAATAAAGGATAGGACATCGACGATGCAGGGATAAACAGCAACTGTACGTGTACGAACCGAGGAGGATTGATAACAAAACAGGGCCGTGAACAACGGACGGTAGAAACCTATACGAGTCCTAGGAGCCACTAGGAAGCATGTTTATTTTGTCGATGCGAATACTAAACCGATTGGTACGATTCATCACGTACTTTTATTAAATGTTGTCTTCGTATTGTACCCACGTAATATGAGGTAAGATACCTGAAGGGAGCATGAGGGGTTGGTACGCACTGTGTCCATCTGCATCGGCGAAAAAGACTCCGAGGCCCGACTTCAATTAAAAAAAAAAAAACTCCACCATCAATCAGTATCATATTATCACCAAGAATATTTCTGCAACACAGTTGTTTCATCGTATGAAACCCGGCAATTATGCAGCGCATAGCAACGAGCTCGGTTTGCTCGCTTTGTATTCGTTCATCTAGGCCGACTACAGTTGCACGTTCATCACTACAAACATGCATTAGCCAACGCCTGGCTTCGCAACATTTCAAGCCTCGCCCCTCGCGCATGGTTCTCTCAGATCGAGTTGATCGACCACCTCCGTCTCGCGATGATCGGCGCCAACGTCGTGAAGCCCCAGGTCCTTTTGGAGGAATGAACAAGAAATATGCCAATATTGATCCTGCCCGGAGAGCCGGTCCGCATCGAGCGATAGGAGGAAAAGATGGCAATGGAGGAAAGACAAGAGAGAGGGAAAACAGGAGAGGAGGACCAAGAGACGGAGACGACCGAAAGGCGCTCAAGATGCAGAGGGCTCTGGCTACGGTCTCGTACGGAAAGCGAACAGTGATGAAAGAAAGCATGACCGACTACGAAACATTCGACAACTTTGATCTCATCCCCACCCTTCAAGTCGCCGTCAACGAAGAGCTCTTTAAGGGCATGACAGATATCAAGCCAACCCCTGTGCAGCGACTAGCGATTCCGGCTTTGCTGGGACAAAGAAGTCCAGACGACTTGAAAAGACCAACAGAAGAGATGAGGTCATTCTTATTAGCGGCAGAGACTGGTTCCGGGAAGACATTGGCCTATCTGTTGCCGGCTATCGATGCTCTCAAGACTGCCGAAGCAGAGGACCCTGAGCTAAAGGCCTACCGTGAACGATGGGAACTCGAGAAGCAACGACAATTAGAGGGCCATTCCAAGGGCAAGCCATTCGACGAGCCGCATCCTACCATGGCTCGCCCCAAGGTTGTCGTCCTTGTGCCCACAGCAGAGCTTGCGCACCAGGTCACAAAGGTATCCAAAGCTCTGTCACACGTGGCCAAGTTCAAGACAGAACTCCTCTCTTCGGACTTGAAACCCCAGCAGATTCAGCGTAACCTGTACGGACCTAGGGGAGTTGATGTCATCGTCTCGACACCTCATCTCCTCGCATCGATTGCTGATTCAGATCCCAACATCCTCTCCCGCGTATCTCATCTAATCGTCGATGAGGCAGACTCTCTTTTCGACCGAAGTTTTGCTCCAGTCACCACCAGTATTGTGGAGCGAGCGCTGCCCTCCATGAAACAGTTTGTCTGCTGTTCAGCCACGATTCCCCGAAAACTCAACAACTTCCTCGCCACCAACTACCCCAAGATGGTCCGAATCACCACACCCAACCTCCACGCTATCCCCCGACGTGTCCAATTAGGTGTTGTTGACGTCTCGAGAGAACCC